ACTTGTTTTAAACAATTTTGGTTGATTAGATAGAATAATAGACTATTTCAACTTGTAGTTGATAAATAAGGTAGTAAACGAAAGGTGTTGCGTTGAAATGGAGCTTAAATAAATAGTTTCGCTACATTTCTACACCATAAAGCATTTCATTAAACTTCCTTAGTTGAAAGTTATGGGTTTTTTAAATCCATTTAGCTTGAGGACATTATACAAAGACAGAATTGTTGCATTCAGTGAATAAGATGTCAATTCAAGTTGCTACATTCTATAGATGCTATTAATTGTATACAGAGGATAATAAATGGAAATCTGTTGTGCTCTAAATGAAATAATAACAGATGGATTCATAACTATTATTTCCAGACCTCTAAATCTGTTTGAATAAATCCGACAAGGAAGACTGAATTTATCCACATAACTTTAACATGTCTTGATAATTATAACATGGCATATCTATGTAAATAATGGATTAATATAGTAGAATTAACTCAGATTCCTAATCCTTATCCATTGATTTGTACTGTACAAAACTTCTCGATTAGTACATTTGTCATATGTAAACAATACTTTCACAACATTATTCATTATTATTATTAGAATACTTTAAGCAGTTATATGATGTTTATAGTGAATTCTCTAATATAAATGATTTATTTATTCAATGAAAGGTATCTTTCTAAACTTTTCGTAAGAAAACATCCATCTACATATATTAGAATCTAACTGGTGCTTATAATAGAAGATATATGTATATACAACAGTTAAGATGTAGACAAGATGAAGTCAAATTGTTCATAAATATCAAGTCAGTTGCATAAAATTAACTAATATAAGATCACAAAAAAGCATTTGTACAATGAATGCAGTAAACATAAAGGTCAATATGTATTTAAACATTAGAAAACTGTCTTACATAACTTTTTTTTCACTGTTAAAATTTACTATGATGTAATTTAATCTGAATAATTATCATTAATTGTAATAGTTTACTCTTATGATATTAATGTAAATTTTGTTTACTATGCTTTTAATTGAAATCAGACAACGTTCGTGAATAAAAATGATGTCAATTTAAGCACTAAACAAGTTTCATTTGTTACTTTTCAAATAAATTAGAATTTATGACCTTTACATAATCGACTAAAAATCTTGTAAAACACACGTTTCTATTTATGAGTAGGGTGATTAACTCTTAAATTAATATATTCACTGATAAAATATCAAGATAAAATCATTTACTTATTGTTCTTCGACAACTACTACCGAATTTTTATGTTAAATGTGTGGATTGGTTGATGTTAGACATTAATACCGTTTCAATGGTCTAGAGGTTAAGCGTTGACGCGCAAAACCGAAGGTCCAGGGTTTGAGTCCCGCGTGCGGGATCGTGAATGTACACTGCTGAGGAGTCCCGTACTAGGACGAAACGGCCGATCAGTGCTTCTAGATTTTCAATGGTAGTCTAACATTGATCTATTCATGATATCAATCTAAAATACGTAAAAGTCACTAGACGAAATCTTGAACAGAATACACAACAAAATTGAATAATTTAGCTGAGTAAACATTCTGAAAATTGATCGATAAAATCTAATCCTGAAGCAAATGTAACGTGATATTGATCAATACGAAGTGATTATTTTAGACAAACCAAATTTCTATTCTTTCTACTATCATTAGTAAGTGTTTTATATTCAATAGGATGATGGGACTCGATAAATAAATTTCTTGGCCAAATTCATCAAAATCACACGAAGTCACAAGTTTTTTATATTTTCTGGGTTGTCAGTCAGTTATAAGAAACGTAGAACATTCAAAACGTATGCGTTGGTTCAATTCGGTAAACTAATATCAACACAATAATAGTATCAATAATAGCAAAAGGTAATCAGCATAAAGAATATGATTCGAGTAGAATAGATAAGTTTGTGAAATCAAGCAGTATGAACTAATTTTATTACTCAGGATTTAAAAAATATCAAAGAGAATATAGGTCTTCACCATTTTGATTGACTATATCTTGTCACCCAACATGTCCAGCAAATGTTTGTAACTACTGCGCCTACACCAAGCAGGCAATCTATACCTAATAACATTGCTTGAATTAATTTAACTCGTTCATGAACTGGTGCTAGGTTTTGTTATGAGCAGAATTCTGTGCAAAATATTAACCCTTTCGTTAATATATGAACATCATGACTACGCAACATGTGGCACAAATCTATGCAATGACTTAGACTAGACATGAAGCAAAATTTTGCATTTAGAGTGGGAGAAAAGTATCTTAAATGTACCTACACGGGATGGCCCTGGGTATGTCTCACTTAGTTCTATACATAATTGTCGATAACTTACTGTATGTTAATAAAATTAATTTATGGATTTTGTCCTAGTTGTCTTTCAATACTTTCTGTATTTTAATTTTAAGTCATTAATATTGTATCATTAATTTGTTGTTTTACTTGATGAACGTTCTTAAAACTCCTAGGTTGATTTTCCATGCTTCTGTTTAATATCAATTCCATATTTCTGTTTTTGTTTTTTGTTTTTAGGATTTTAAAGTAAAAACGGATATATGCGGCACTACTACATACGTTTTGTATGTTCTTTTTATTTTAAATAAAAATCGACTGCTGAAATCATTAGAGTGTATAATTTGAGAAAGAAATAAGAAAAGACAATACGAAATACTATCAAAAGGGGTTTTGTGGAAATTTTAATAATTTTGCAGTTGAATTTATGAGTCAACTGAAGCTAAATCATCATGGAAAACCTGGAAGCACTGGACGGTTGTTTCGTCCTAGTACGGGACTTCTCAGCAGTGCGCATCCACCGTTGGATGCCAGCTCAGTGGTCTAGAGTTTAAGCGTTCGTGCGCAAGACTGATAGGTCCTGGGTTCGAATACTAAATATATTTGAACTAATTAAAATCCTCTACATATACATATTGTCTCCATAAATTTCCATCTTAAGTATTAAATATCATTACCAGACGACTGAGTATAATTATTAAGATGCAATAGACAAAACTTTATGTTTGTTATTGCTGTCTACATATTAAGGTTTAAGTAAATTTAAACATTATAGAAATTTTCACATTTACTATGACTGGAATGATCACATTCAATTGTATTGTTATTCTTCTGTTACAGTTGAAATACAAAACAACCTTGTACTGTTATTATCATTGATCCAGACGAATACAGTATGTAGTTTGTTTAAATAAGCTAATTTATTTAGCATTCTCCAATAGTATCATCATAGAATCAAATAATGTAAATTAGTTTTATAATGTTAACAACTAATTATTCATATTTCAAAATTAACTGACTGATCTGTTATGCTTCAACTCGAAATTCCAAGTAAATTTTGCAAATTTTTGAAAGTTTCATAATGTAATTTAAATAATCAAGATGTAAAACTATCATCTATCAATTACATAAAACATAAATGTGAAAAAAATTGTAACACAGCATATTTGTTAGATATTCACAATTGATTGATCACTGGGCAATGAAGTCTGTTTCAATCTTAAATAAATTCTATCGATCAAGTTACAGTTTGATAACTAATTTAAGTGACCCTAAGTAGTAATGATTATATTGAGACATTAGATGATTAGAGGTAATCGATAGGAAACTATGTTTGACTTATATTTCATGTTATTTGCTACACGTTATGAAAGTTCACTTGTAATGTTAATGGAACTAGTTCTGCTTGATTGATTTAACCGCACTTCAAGCTTCCTTACCATTTGAGGTATTACCATGAAGTTAATTGATTGATATTTTAATCATCACCACTGTTCGTTCAGTTTTTTCCATTATTTACCCGACATAATGGTTTTTTTTAATAGACAGGTAATATAACAAATGAAGTTAGCTAACGAGGTAATAAACACTACGAGACATTATCAAAACTAAAACATCGTATTGTTAATATTGTCACTCTGAACTGTGAATTTCGGTTAAATTTTCAATTATGACATTAATATAATCTATGTTATATATTTTGGTCGCCAATTATTAGTTGCTATGGTCACTTCTTTTATAATATGGTACGGTTGCTACACAGATTCCACTGGATTCTAACCCTAGTAATCTAGAGTTTGAGTGTTCAAGAGAGAAATAGAAGCCCATGGATTTAATTACATGTGATATTGTCGTGGATGTGCACTTGCTAGGTTCAAATGCCTCTTGGTTACCAATGGTTCATAATATTAACAATATTCAATAATCAATGCGAACCTCTTTATTAATATATTTTTTTCATAGTTTAAATCAGTAATTGATCCAAGTTAAAGCATCATTGAAGATCGGAAAGCACACAACAGCCTCTTCATTTCAGTGTGGGATTCTTTAGCAGTGCGTATGTAAGATACTACATCCCGTAATCGAACTGAGGACCTTCAGTCTCGCGCACTTAAACTGAACTTTCAGACCACTAAGCATTCATCCAACGGTACTACTCTCTAACTTCAAAGAATTTACGATATTACACAACCTTCAACCATCGCTTCCGTTTAATAGCTATCTCAAAATCGATATAGTTGACGTGTACACTGCTGAGGAGTCCTATACTAGAACGAATCAGTTATCCAATATTTCTAGATTTTCAATGGTGAATTAACTAAGAACAGATCATGATTTAAACCATGAAAATTTTACATTCTTCACAAATCATCCTATACTAATGAGTCATCTTTTATTGATATACTTGTCAATGATTAATATTATTCATATTGTTTTTGTCCTTATCATTCTCATATCATTTTAATTGGGTGCAATCCAATAACAATGACCTTGTTTTTTATTGGTTCGTTCGTTCAACTGTGTAAAATTTATTGCATGAGTTCATTTTTTTTTCACTTTTAAAATTATTCATTAATTGAAATAGATTGATACACAAAAAAAACATAAAAAGAATAATTTACGCCTATTATTATTATTATTATTGTTATTATTATTAGATAAATAACTGAATTTGCTCTTTTGCTCTTTATGGATCAATCGAATAAGAAAACTATTAATTCATCAAATATAACTACTACATTTCAATCCACTTCATCATCATCTTCATTACCAAGAACAATCTATGCACATCGTATAGAAAATTATTCACCAATAACATTTACATATATTAAAGAATATTGTAATAATGAAATTATAACATCTATTTATACAATATGGAATTTTTTACCAAAAATTCTCTATGAACAATTACATTATATTTCAAATATATTTTTTATATTAGTTGCTATTATACATTTATTTGCTGATGGTGCTACATCAATATTTGCTATTATTGGTCCATTTTCATTTGTATTATTAGTTACTATGATTAAAGATGCAATCTATGATATATTAAGACATCAACAAGATAAACAAATTAATGAAAAATTATTTCCATTAATGAAAATTAATATAAAAACAAATGAAATAAAATGGATATTAAAAAAATCAAAAAATTTACATGTTGGTGATGTAATATTATGTAAAAATAATGAAGAATTTCCATGTGATTTAATTATTTTAGCAACAAGTAATCATAATTGTAAATGTTATATAACTACATCAAATTTAGATGGTGAAAATACAATTAAAACAAATTATTGTTTATTAGATACACAAAATGTCTATAAAAATTATATAAATGATTCAATGAATTATACATTAAATAATGATATATTGAATTCATTATATATTAAAATTAATTGTCAACAACCAAATGAAGATTTTAATAATTTTGAAGGTTGTATTACAACAAATTTAAATGAAAAAATAAAACAACCATTAACATTACGTAATATATTATATAAAGGTGCAAAATTAAAAAATACAAAATCTATTATTGGTTTAGTGATATATACTGGTAATGATACAAAATTATTATTAAATTCTAAAAAAGTCAAACGTAAATATAGTTCACGTGAAAGTAAAGCTAATCAAATTTTATTTATATTTATTATTATTATGATTGGATTTTGTATATTATTTTCCATAGTAACAAAAAAATGGTCAATCAATAATTTAATTAATCCATTTATACCATTTGAACATTTTAAAAATTGGATACAAATTAAAGGGGTATTTCGATTTTTATTTATATTAAATTATATAATACCAATATCATTAATTATAACAACAGAAATACAACAAATTACATCAGCATATTTTATATCAGCTGATATGAATTTATATGATATAGAACAAGATCAATCAACTAAATCAAATACACCACAATTAGTTGATGAATTAGGACAAGTAAATTATTTATTTAGTGATAAAACTGGTACATTAACTAAAAATGAAATGAATTTACATACATTAGCTGTATTAAATACAGATAAAGTATATGTCTTTAATGATAGTACACTTCAAAATATTAATGATAATACTAAGAATAGGAAGAAAGAGAATACACAGAAATCAATTCGATTAAAAAAAATTTCACAAAAACTAAATAAATTTGGTTATATTGGTGTTGTTTATGAAGAATCAAATGAATTTCAATCTGACTATTATAATGAGAATTATGGATTTATATCATCATCTGATTCTGAACTAGATGAAGAAGATCACAATGAAATAGTACCACATTTTATATTGAATAAAGTAAATAAATCTAAAGAAAATATTACATTAGCAAATGAATATCTTAATTATACATCTAATAACAATAATAATAATAAATTACCCAATGAATTATTACATTGTCTTACAACATTAGCATTATGTCACACAGTAGAAGTTAATGAAGAGGATTCAGTAAAACAAAATAGAACAGACGAAAATATATGTTTGGAAAACTTTTATCAGGTAAACGGTTGTTATTATTATTGTTGTTTAAATTCGAAATTTCTTTTTAGTGGTTTCATTTATTTAAAAGGTAATGATTATTGTAAATGAATGTGATAGATAGTAAGTCGAACATTTGTTTTAGAGCAGTGTAGAAACTTTTTATCAGAAATAACCACTACTATATAAGTTATCTTTAAGATCCTTCATAAGTAGAATACCATTCAAACATTTTATTGATATCATAAGAATGTCTGTTAAAATAATACTAAAGAATTCAACTACGTGAACAATGTTACTGTAATTTACTAATTACACCAATTAACTGTACGTCTGCTTTATTGAATACCACGATTATCAATATAAATCTTAGTGGTTTTGACGTTTAGGCAATGTGCACTTCTGAATGAGTAATGGTGAAAATTTCTGAACAAAAAATGAGAGATCTGTTGATAAATATCAGTGGTTGTCCATCTAATGTCAATTTATGAGGTGATTCACCTTTCCAGAATGAACATCATTTCTGAGATACAGGTACATCCAGCTGATGATTTCCAAATAGGACGAAATGTGTATCTTGTATTCCACTGCTAGCCACTATCCATCTTTGCATATAATGCTTGTGAACTAAGGCTATATCAAGGCGATCCCCACAGTATGCACATATACCAATAAGAGGCTGACCAAGTGTAGTCCTAAACAACAATGGGAAGATACAAGTAAAACAATGTCAGGTGAACTTAGAGCTATTGTTTAAAACCCTAACAGAAAACATCACGCCTTATCAAAGTATGCAAATACTATGAGATAACGTTAATTAACGGAGTTTTTGAAAACACTTTGAAATATACATCGTGTTTTGATTGAGAAAACTAATATTTCTTCAATAAGAACACGTTCATTTAAATTACAGGTGAATATGTTTTTTTATAAAACTAAGCTTGTAATTTAATAAAAAGTCCATTAGTAGAACACATTACTATTAGCTATTTCTCTAAGATTAGAAAAATATTATATAACTGAGTTATATTTTTATGATGAACCGATATTTGTTATTCTGGATCATCTCTATTAATTCATAGTCTTATTTAACACGAATGTAGCAACAAATTCTAACATTTTTATAATGAAATTAATATGGTTTTTATACGTTCAATGATACAACCGTTGGATGGTTATCTTATATTCCTTTTCCAGTAAATTAAACCACTTTTCAAAAACAATGATTTTTAAAAATATCTAAAAATGATATACTGAACTTTAATTTTTATACTTCTGATGTTCCACTGGATTGAAGCAATAGTCAGGTAATTAAATGTTAGGGTGAGATAGAAACTAAGAAAGGAAACTGTTTAATAATCAGAATAATGTTAAGCTTCTTTAGTTTACACCTGTTATATCATTTTGTTTATGTTATTGTAATATTTCATTAGTAATTAATTGTTTCACGTCTTATTGTTTAGTTTGGTTTATTACAACTAACTAATTAAATACAAGATTATGCAAGTGAGCTTTAAATAGTACTATTTATCTGATGACCAATTATACTAGATATAGTTCTTTAAAGTACGTGGACTCTAGTTCAAGTATGCCGTCCAGTGGTTGAGAGTCAAGTGCTTTAACTAGGTTCTACATTTGGGCTCCAATGGCAAAGTAAGTTTAGAAATTAGTATTTCCTTTTGGTGATCAGTTACAGGTTCTGTATCAGTAGGATGAAACTATATTGCATTTTGCGTAAAATGATTGTTTAGATAGATTGTAAACTTCACTGTCCAGGATTTCTGCATTTTACTCACTAGAATTTACATTTTTTGCTCGTGATCATTCAAAAATCCGGTTTATTTATAGTCTTGTCAAACTAGATGTATATGAAGAATTATTAAATTCAGAGAGGTTACCCTTTTTCTTTATACTAAATAGTCAATAGAATGACAATGTTTTTCAACAAACTGAAATAAATGTTTCTTATTCTTACTTACTTACGCCTGTTACTCCCAGTGAGGCATAGGCCACCAGCCGGCATTCTTCAACTCACTCTCTCCTGGGCCTAAATGGTTTATCTGGTTGTCAGAAGGAGAATCAGCCTCATGACTTCCGAAGGGAATCGGTTTTCACTTTGAGGCATCATGACCCTTTTAAATGAAGACCTAACTCCAAGTTCAGAGCTTAAATGGTTTGAATTATCTTTTCTGGTTAGCGTTTTTTAGCGAGTTAGTTTTCTACGGGATGCGGTCAATAATCCCATACCCAACCTTCTTCCTCTATCCGGGCTTGGGACCTGCAGTAGCACCAGACGGGTTCCAGGCTGATTTACTGTACCTCATGAATTATTATCAAACTTTGTTCACTTAACATTTACCTCTCAATTAATAAGTTCCATAAAATAAATCAAAGATAATTAGCATGTAATGTCTAAATGATGTATTTAAAGCTCAAAATTATTTCCTAGAAGTATATTAAGTCGTTTTTATTTACATCTGTTGAAATGGTATTTCACCTTGATTGAATTTCACTGATGGATATTTTACTTAAAATTAAGAGTTCTAAATGAGAATCATATACATGTTTACTATTTCATCTTGTATATAAGAAAGTTAAAGTTAATTTTTTATCCGTTTGAAGATTTATAAAGATGGTAGTATTTTCATAAGTCAACTCATGATTTCAACTATGAAAATATTGATTTGGTAAATAGACAATACTATTTATAAATTATCCGTTTTTATATAAAAGAAAATTATCTATTTACTTGGATCAACATTTAAAGTAGTATAACAACTAAGAGTAGAGTTGTAAATATTAACCAATAGATTGATTGGTTTAAAAAATTCACTATCTTCATGAGATATTATAATAATGAGTTTGTTGTTATGTAGGATGATGATAGTATACTTGTTAGGATTTCCTTTAGTTATCAAGTTTTCAATTGTTCAATTCATGATGAATAAAGTAACTTGAAATAATAGTGTTACGTAATTAACAAAAATTAGTGATGTGATAAGTTCTTTTTACAATGGAATGAAGCCAAGGTACATTAAAGCACTGAATACAAGTTAGATGAGATTGATTGGAAATTTTAATTCATTTATCTATTTGGTCAATTTTATAATAAACTTAATTCATTTATAATACTTTGATGGTTAAAAGTTCTCAAAATTTAATATAGTAAATAAACAATGAAAACTAAGAATTCTTCTCTAGTCATGTGGATGTGATTGTTTTCTTTCCTTATTTGCTATTATTATTAATAATAAGTTATATTTCTTGATTTCATTCATTCTTTTTAATTTATTTTCCTCATTGTTAATTATGATCGCTATCACTAATTTCACATTTGTTTCTGTTTCTTTGACTCTACATAACACGTCATTATTATTTTATTTTATTTGAGCACATAAATATTGATACAAAGAGGCACCGAATACATATCAACCACACAAGTCACTTGATTTGTGTGTGGGTCGTGATACTACCCGGGTGCTCAGATCGAAACACGTGGTTTTCTTAGGAGGTCACACCCGGAATCTTCGACCTAAAGGTCTGATCCACAAGACAGTGGATCAACGGCCCATGATAGCCTGTGACCAATAATTGGTTCATGCGCCATATTTTCCCTCAGGTTCCTGGAGCCCATATGCATAATTGATGGAGAAGATTCGTAGCTCAGGTGGATGATTTTGATGGATGGTTTGGTCGTCGAGCTTTCACCGTTCTCCTAAACGACATCATTAGCACAAACGTCTACGCTAGATTCGGTTTCCTAAGCTCTTCTATTAACACCCAGGTTAAGCCTATACAGCAACCTGAACACGAAAGAAAAGACGCGAAATAAGAAAGAAACGATTTATTTCAAGGTCTGTTTACGTACAGAAAATCTAGGGTACTTATAACATTTTAGATGGCTTAGATATTCCAGGAATTACTGGAACGCTACTAAACGTATTAGCAACATAGGTAATTACCCAATCAGAAACACGATATGTGACTGTTCCCTTTTTAGATGATTGTTCCAAAACCTCTATTAAATGCTTACTCAGCATTTTCAGAGCCTCTTTTGACCTTTTTCGAGGAATTTTCTGGTTCTCCTCGATAGGAAATAACATGTATTATTATTATTTCTATCATTATTGTTTCATCCTGTTGGTGTCTTGTATTGATGTAAAGTATAATAACTTGAGTCAATACCTTGTCTCAAATCCTACTCTCTCTATGGCTGATTATTCTACTGAGTCTTCAAGTTTTTTGCTTTCTCTCTCGAAAAATTATGAGTAATAGTGCTTTCTTCATTGATCAAATTGCAAATGTCCCAGATCAATAACATCTAAATATTATTTTTTCTTGGTTAAAAAGTATGTTTACATGTTGAAAAGTAATCCATGCAACATTTTTGTAGTTTAGTAATGTATAATTTTACACAATGCTGAATTTAGAATAATAAACAGTGAAAAAAAACACATGACTTTATAGAAACGAAAATATTTCTGTTTTTTTACATTGTGTTCTAGGTAGAAAGGTGGATTGGGTAGAGTCAATCAGTGAAGTTTTAACAACCTAATTATAAAAAAATCATTTAAAGCATTTTATCTTAAAAAAATAACATAAATAGGCGAGACCTTTGAGCGACACTAAAGAGACCTTGAGAATGTCTACCTATATACTACGGCTAAATGAGGGTAATAAACCAGTGTGAGGAATTCGAATTAATATTTTCAGTTGATAGTTAGGGTTATGAATCAGATAAATGGTTTTTCATCACGAACTAACATCAGCTCTAATGCTAAAACTCTATTTAACCAAATGAATGGATCAATTTCGCGCCAAAATTCAAGATCAGAGTTCATTTTCACTCTGTAACCTTATTGTTGATAGCCGGCTCCTATATGTACAGCTACATCAGCGGGTAGTATCAATTGCTTTCTATTTTAAATATTAGTCGACAGTTTTTTACGAAGAAGCCAGTTCATTTTACAAAGGGCAAGTCATAAGTGACACTTAAATAAAATGGCGATCTTTTAACTTAAACCTTAACATTTTTATTGCTCAAAATATCTTTGAAACCTGTTGAATAATTTATTCACATAGCTTGAAGCAAGTAATTAGGGATTCAAAAGCCTCTTATATCCTAGAATCTTTTGTGACTCATGTTAGTACCTTACACATGGTTAATCCATTCCAGTATCATTTATGGCTTACTTTGTTATCCCTGAGAATAATTTTGCTCTAATTAAAGACTGAATGAAAAATAGATTTCGCACATTAGTGAAGTCCTACCATGGTAAAAGTTATCGTTGATTAAAGTCATAATCATGGAAAATTCGATTTCGACTTAGTAAACTAAATTTTGTCACGTCCATCAACAGACCGACAAACTGTGTATTTATCAAGGATAAAGTTGTTGGCCTGTATGTGTATGCATGTACACTGTTTAAACAAAACAAATGATCAGTGCTTCCATTTTATCTTCATCCATTCTGCATCTGTCTAATATCGATTCATGATAGAACATCATTTTTAAAATATACTTTCTTTAAATAAAACAAAACAAAATGCAATCGTTAATGTTAGTTACTAAACATGTAATGTATTAAACATTTCATTATTGAAATATCTATCTATTAATCTTCATCAATTATAACAGTATCATACAGCTTTGAAATGTTATTTGTATTTTTCCATCAATCAATGTTGATGTATGCCAAGGTTATTAAACTGATTTTATTTTTTCTTGACCAACTTAAGTGGTATTTATAAATAGAGATACATAGACTAAACTACTAGTCTTCTTCTCTTTTTTTTCTCTTCTCAACAGAAAACCCTAATAAATTTATACAAGTTTGAGTTTTTGAGGTCACTTTACCAAAATAATGATGTGATCAATTGTACTTTCTATTGTGTTTTATTCTACAAGAAAATGATCAATATGTTTGTATATTTTAATGTATGTAAATTTGATACCTAAAATAAAGAATATTACGTAAGAAATTCATAATAACACTCATTGCTATTGTAAATGTTTCGAAGGAGAACTAATTGATTAGAGAGTTTAATTTTGGCGGCATTTTAAAATCATTATTTTTAAATAAACAAAAAGATTAAATTTCATTCATTTACTTTCTTTTTGATACGTTTTAAATAGAATAAGATTAATAATGTATTATGGAAGAAGTTGAAATCATTTGTTTATTTCAATAGATCTAATCAGAATTAAAAAGGCGAAATTTACAACGTAAAATAATGATTATAATTGTTATATTAATAAATTATGACTGATGACATTTTAATGTAGAGTTTATTGGATTTCATTGAAATTATTGACCAATCTGCGTTAGAACACTGTCAAAAATGTAGAAGCACTGGATTGTAGTTTCGTTCGAGTTTGAGACTTTTCAATAATTCGCATTTGCGTTACCGCTCTCGGGACTCGAGTCCAGCACCTTCAGTTTCTTGAACGAACGCTTAACCTTTAGAATATTGGACTGGCACTTTAGCTTGATAATAAGTAGCCTGATCAAAATAAGGCTAATTCAATGGATATAAGCTAGAAGTACTGTAGAAATATGAAGTTACATGGCAATGGAGATTATTTCACAGAACTTATTGTTACCGGGAACGAGGTAATTCATCAACGTTTTCTCCTGTCTACATACTTAAGGTGTGAAACGCAAAGTGGTATTGGTTCCTGTAGCACAAAGTAGAATTGTTACTCATACTTTGCTTATTGTTACTAGAGTTTTAGAAATATTTTCTTCATCTACGCAATCTGTAATGTTCCTAATCATTTTACTTTTAAACAATTTGCTTTCCTATAAAAGCAGGTTTTGTGTAACTTAATCAAAAAGCCTTGTATATTCTTTTTAAGTCTTGACTATAAACCTAACCTCAGAAGTAACTTACTGTTATCTCTAATGTTGAGTTACGGTATAAATGTTCAGATGAAATATTATGTTATTATCATACTACGCATTCACTTTTTCCATCTAGGTGTCATGAGAAAAGTTTTAATTCTTTGAAAAGATCTTATGATTTAAGACTTTGATTATTAAGCTTTTTAACACCACGTAAATTTACTATTCTGAATTTGCTTGTTATCCCCCTATATCGCAGTCATCAAGCAACTGAAGTATTTAAAAGTAGTAGCTTACATATTTAGTTTGTTATAAATTGATAAGAAGAGATATGATATTATTCTGGTATTTTGTTTCACTAAAACTCTCATAGTTGCGCTACACACATTGCTTATTGTCTTTCATTTGACTGTAAAATCTTTGCATTAAGTTTAACTGGAAAGAATACACTTGCTTGATTATTAGTAGTGAAATTAAAAGCATTCTAATCAAACAATGAATTACCGATGAACAAAAATTTGCATTTGCTTGAGTTCGGTCATATGCTCTTTTAATGAGCAAATTCAGACGTGTCACCTCTGAATCTCTAAAGCTCTACTACCGACGACCAAAAATTCGTAGGCCATGGTGACTCGTTCTGTTCTTGAGGTTTGCATTTTCTAATCTCTTATTCATTTGTGGAAACATTATTTATTTTCCTCCTCAAAAAGAAACCAGTTTGTAAAACCGTTGGGATCCTGATATAGTTGGCAAATGAATTCTTAATACATTTGTATTAGTTGTTTGAATCTTCCAATTAATTTTTAGGACTTTAATTGGCCAGCCCTTTTTCGGCATATGTGAATCTTGTGAGGACTGCCTCGACATTGTTCTTGTTAGATTTGTCTGTTGAAGTATTCGAGACAAAGGCGGGAATATAAATTGTAATATCCAGATATTGAGAGATGCGTTAAGAATACAAGCGTTTAATTCAATACACATCCGAATAATTTCACATTGAAATGTTTTTTAATACACCATGTTAAAGCCTTTAATATACGAAGTAGTTTTAACATTGCAAAACGTTGATATTGAATAATTTCTTTATTCCTATGTTCAACCCAACCCCCGAACTATTACATTCACTCCTTGGGATATTACTGATCAGAAGATTTTACTCGGTGTTTATCTGCTAACATTTATCTGATTACGACGAAGAAAAAAACACGAAACAAAGAAGAGTGAGAGTTTTGGTCACTCTATGGTGTTTTTCTACATTACCTAAGGAGAATGACTTTGAGAAAAGACAAAATATCTAAAACTGACCAAACGTTTATGGATTAATTTGACTAGATAACTCACCTCTTGTAATATATATATATACTACTATTCATGTCTGTCGGATTAATTTGAACCAATTTCTATCATTCTGATTAAACGCCTTAACAGCTGACAAATAGATTATGGATATTTATTTCAGGTGTTTCATTCATTTCATTGTTTCAAGTGTTTAAATATTGTTACTTATTTTTCATGCAAAACATTAATAGGCAACATCACCAGATGAAAAAGCACTTGTTATAGGTGCAGCAAAACTTGGCATTCTATTTATGGGTACATCACTCAATGAGAATAATTCACATTCCAGAATATATCGTCTAGAATATGATCAGTGTTTACAAAATGGTTCTGGTCAATCAGAAATTATGGAATATTCCATTGATGCTATTCTAGAATTTGACTCATTTCGAAAACGTATGAGTATTATGGCTAAACATCCTGATGGAACGTATCATATTCATAGTAAAGGTGCTGAATCAAGTATTTTTGAGGTGAGATAGTTCAAATGATTTATTTTTACTTTAAGTATATCAATTTTCATCTCAATGCTTTTAAAGAAACGTGGTTTTTCTACTGTGTGAAATATGTATTTTATTTTTTACGAATCGAACTGTTGCCTATCTATAGTGTACGACTAGAGTCTAATTCAATGTTACATTGATTTTTAACAGTAGCTGAGAGCTAACATTTTAAACATTGATTGTTAATGACATATGTTTATTCTTCTTTGTAACTAATCAGCTGGTGTACTCTCTGTATGAATGTTCGCACTAGAACTCTACATCAAAGAAGTGATCAACTTTTAAATTCATTCATTAAGAAATCCAATCAACAATTTAATATGCCAACAGCAACTCATCATATAAGCCTTAAATAAGAATAGCCAGAAGGAACCAAAATAGTGACAGCTCTGTAGTTGATAGGAATCTGATGTTTAAAAGTCTAGACTATAGTCATTATTTAAATGTGACAAACAAAATATTATTGCTGATTAAACAAGATATTGATAGCTGTGAAAGTAAGTTTTCATCTGCATAACTTTGCAGAAAATAATGTTTATTGCTTGATTTGTCACAAAAATAATTCATCTATTTACTATTTATGAAGATTAACTCAACTGCTTATTCTTTAGTTCTAACATTTATTATAATAATAACACAATATTAGCCATTTGTGATTGAAATCATGAGTCAGTTGAAGCTAGACCACCATGGAAAACCTGGAAGCACTGGACGGCCATTTCGTCCTAGTGTGGGACTCATGATTTCAATCAAAAACTCAACAATCTCCACAACACTTTAACTGATAATTAGTCATTTTTGTTTAATCTAATTCATATTAGATCAGTTTATTACTATTCCGGATTAATTCATCCAAATAAAGTAACATCATTTTAAAACTACTTTTATTGCAATCAAATATAATCACTCATTGGTCTAATTCTAGTTTCATTTCAAAATCATTCCAGTTCCAATTTAGGTCTCATCTATTATTATTAACATTAAAATTATATTTTATGCAACATTAGTATCCGTTTGAATATTTAAATAGATATTTAATAATCTTACAGTTCATATTCTCCTCTGTAGCACCGGCCTCTGCATCAGTAGGCATCAGTATACACAAAGGAAAAGTAAGATCCTCAAATATAATACGGAGAACACCAACCCAACCATACTTGATGGAGAAACTCTGGAAGATGTGGTATCTTTCACGTACCTGGGAAGCATCATCGATGAAAAAGGAGGATCGGACGCAGAAGTAAAAGTGAGGATTGACAAAGCAAGGGCTGCATTCCTACATTTGAAAAAACATATGGAATTCGAAACAAGTGTCAACCAATATCAAAGTGAGAAGCTTCAATGCGAACGTCAAAACAGTCCTACTGTAAGGAGCTGAAACTTGGAGAACTACAACAACCATAATCAAAAGGTACAAGTATTTATAAATAGTTGTCTATACAAGATACTCAATATCCGTTGGTCGGATACCATCAGTCACAGTCTTCTGTGGGAGAAGACAAACCAGCTTCCAGCTGAAGAGGAAATTAGGTTAAGACGCTGGAAGTGGATAGGACATACATTGAGGAAATTACCAAACTGCATCATGAGTCAAGCCCTAACGTGGAATCCTAAAGGAGAGCGGAAAAGAGAAAGGCCGAAGAACACACTACGTCGGGAAATGGATATAGATATGAAAAGGATGAATAGCAACAGAAAATAGTTGGAAAGGATTGCCCAGGACAGGGTTGGATGGAGAGTGCTTATGGGCAGCTTATGCTACTCACCGAGGGCAACAGGAGGTACTGAACTACTACTACTACTACTACTACTACTACTACTACTACTACTACTACTACTACTACTACCTATATCCTCCTTGAACTCATTCGTTATCTCCAACTTATGTTAAGAATATAAATATTACAATACTATAATTATTTTAATTTCGATAAATATTAAATAAACAAAATACATTGTAACATTTTGTTAAGTTTGCTTATTTCTTTTTTTTTTGTTTGTTGGAAAAATTAACCAGTATCTATAACACAACAATATAAAGAAATAGATCATGAGGTTAACTCTACCTCGAGACTTCAATAAACTAACACATTCCATACCTTGAAATGAATTAAAAACAATTCAATGTACTTTTCATACATATATATATATATATATATATAATGAATAATAATAAAGAATTACAATACCTTGTCAACTATACTTTATTTTGTAAAGAATATTAGCTTGTAACATATTATTGAACAAAATATTATCTGGATACTATATTATTATTAGTTAAAAGGTTTTTCTAATCAACTCTTGATATTCTAGCATTATGTTTAAAGTTATTTGATGATATGTAAGCTAAAAAAAACCCAGTGAAATTATCTGTTAAGTGTTTTCGATTGTATTCAGATGTTTACTATGTTTATGAGAATAATTCATATTTAAAATAGAAGAATTTTTAAACTTAATAAAAATCATATTTGTACTACGTTAATACTAAGTGACATGTAAAGTATTCAATTTATTTCTATAATAGTTATGAGGTTGGACAAGAATAATGTGAGTTAAGTGACTATTTTAATTTACATTATTCACTTACCGGAATGATCAAGTTTATCTATAAAAAAAAAGCTAGTTAACTCTCCGTTATTTAAGCAATGTAGTTAATTTTTAAGAAACGTACCAATTTGTCAGGAAAAGATTAAATGTAGTTCGCTGTGGAACCCAGGATGAATGTTTCTTTGTCAGACATAAGTACCTAGATCCCAATATGAGTAAATATTTCACAAACTCTGTTCCACTCCTTCGGTGATATCATTTTATGACGCTATTCAAATAAGTTAAAAGCATTTAAAGCACTAGTACTGTTGTGTTCATTAAAATAAAAAGATCAAAAGAATAGCTTCATACAAAGAAAGCTTTTGATATATCTAGTCACGTTAATAAATTTGAAAGAAGTAACTGAAAATAAGATTTGTAAATCATAATGAATTCATTCGACTTCAAGGTATATATTTTCAGTTCTTTAATGGTTAAAAACAAAAGTTCAGTTTATAATAATTGATATTAAGTTGTAATGAAAGTACATTTAAATAAATATGAACCATCTAAGTTGAAATTTTAATAGTTGAATTTATGAGTCAATCTAAGTCAGATCACCGTTGAAAACGTAGAAGCACTGGATGGCCATTTCTTTCTAGTATATAACTAATCTGTTGATGTTAGACATTAACACCATTGTATGTCGGCTCAGTGGTTTCACCCGATATCGGAGTCCTGGATTCGAGTCCCTTTGGTGCGGTCTTGTGAGTGCACGCTGCTGAGGAGTTTCATGCTGGGACGAAACGACCGTCCAGTGCTTCCAGGTTTTACATGGTGGTCTAGCTTTAATCGGCTCATGAATTCAACTATTAAAATGCTTTATTATTAAATTGACTACGTAGATCATTATATGAGACAGAAATTTCATGTTATCTCTGGAATAACTTCAATAGTAATGAAAAATTGTACTACTTTATCTAATTAAGAAAGACGACAATTAACAATATGAAAAGAAGGATATTTTGTTTGAATATTTACATTGTTAAGATCAAAACAATTGTATATATCGTTTTTTCATTACAAGTTTTCAAAAATCTAGGATCATTTCAACAGAAGAATAAATTTTAATAATCCTAATGTTAAATGATAAGTTTAGCATTCATTATGATTTAAACATATACTTATCAAGATATATATTCACATTGTTGATAATATAAGTATATTTGCAAGTGTGCGCTTGTGCCTGAAAGAGAAATAAAGAAAGAGAATATATTTTTATTCCGATATCGATCTGCTGAAACGAACCGATCTTTTCCTTTGGGGATACAAGCTGGTTGTACAGAATCATTTTTATATCATTTATTACCTTGTTGTTTTAATACATTTGTTGAAAACTAGTAACTTATTGAATATGATTATTTTGGTGATCCCAGCCGATTCGTAGCCTACTGATAATGGGCGGTTATATTCGAATAGTCGTCTAATATGTTGAGACCTCTAGTTAAAAGGATTCGTCTGTGGTTATTACAAGAGGATTGTCATCTCTTCTTATAATTTGAGATAATCCGTGATCGATGTCAGTCAAATTCCACTACGTTTATTTTTCAAACGCTAACCAAAATATCCGTTAACCTAACCACGAATGCTGAGCAATGTCCTTAATTATCTTCTCAATAAGTCAATCAGGTCCCATTTATCTCATTTTCCGCATATTAGCTATGAACCTTTCAACCGAATTAAGATTTAAGTGGACTGTGTTAGTCTTTCATGCACATTGTTTTAGAATAGTGAGTAAGTGTTATGTAGATAGGTAACAGTTGAAGTTTTCCGTAAGTGTTCTTTCCATCGATCTTATATCTTAAAATAAGGGTAAATTATGGTTCCGTCTCTTCCTGGCATATTTTTACAAATGGCTGACGTTTTGCTACCTGCTCCTCGATGAGTCGGAGCAGTTGTCTACTGTTGTTTACCTTCTCTGCCATTTTTATTTCTCTTGACTTTATTGCTCAAAACCGCTCACAATCATTGCATAAATATTTTATTGGTTTACATTTGAATTTCCGTCGCTCTTCATCGTCCTTTGAGCCTATCGAGATGAGTTTTCGCGCAACTATCAATTCGGTAGAATTTTTCGAAATCCATTTATCATTCGTAACCTTACTCTCAGAGCTTAGATATCGTTGCTGCATTCTCAGTTGTATCGGCATCACGCAAGCTTCAATAAAGTTGCATAAATATGTATACATTCAATAGTTCGTAGTTTCAAAGGAATAAAAGTATTAAGCTCTCATCATTAGTACAATATCAAGCAGTAAAGAAGTTCAACACGGAAATGCAAAGTAATCGACAATAAATCTCAAATACTGTTTGTATAATAACGTCTAATAAAGAGGGCAAAAATGGCTGAAATATCATGGACTGAAAAAATGTTTTCAATACTTCACAATATTAGCAGTCCATGAAATAAAGATGTTTTATACCAAATCAGAATTATCTAAAACAAAGCAGTACAGCTAATGAAAAGATTATATGATGAATTTCATTTTCTCTGGTACTGTTCATGAACAACTTTAATTTATCCCATACTTATCATTCATTCAGTCACAACGTAGAACCTGCACGTATGTACATCGGTTCAAGTTGCCATATTGCATTAGCACAATAAGATAAAATTGACAGTCCAAACCCCCGATAATCAACTTATGATCATTCGGTAATTTTTTATATGAAACGCAAAGATAATTTAAAATCTCAAAAGAATCACTTCAATCAATTTTATTGAGATGCAATACACAAGGTTTGTATCACAAATGAATAGCTATAAATAGTGACGAAATATAACTAACAGAATTTCGATTATTATTGAGATTCTGATCTAATCAGTGTGAACAACCGTAACCTAACAAATATTACAACTTATTGGTAATCAAAAATATTTCATAATTTATTTCTCTTCTCTAGATAAGTAACTTATCAACTGCGGATTTGAAACAGTTAGCCAGTAAACATGTTACACAGTTTGCTATCAATGGACTACGTACATTAGTTTATGCAAGTCGTCAAGTGGATTCTAGAGAGTATTACCATTTGCTCAATGAATTTTATCATGCCAATTCATTATTTGGCTCTGAACGTAGTGATGCATTAAAAATAATTTATTCAAAGATTGAATGTAATTTAACATTGATTAGTGTTACTGGAGTTGAAGATAAACTTCACCTGGTGTTCATGAATGTTTAAAAAATCTCCGTGATGCTGGAATTCAAGTAAGAAAATCTTAAATGTATTTTTTTCTATATACACGCATTATAAGTAACTAATACTAAACATTTTAATAGAACCATTTATACAACAGATAGATTGTTATTAGCAGTGGAATTTAGGTTGCATTTGGGACTCGTACTTAGATCCCAATGTCAATGAATATTCCACAGCTCGAACTCACTACCTTTAGCTTCAAATAGGCAATTCTTTGTCCACTAAACTATTAATTTCAGATAGTCGCCAGCTTGTACAACGAGTATGAATGTTAATTTGATTAGCATTGGTTTGAATAATCTTATTGTTGGTTGTAAGAAGGAACGTTCCTAAAACCTGATAACTAGTAAAAGTTATTTTAACCTTTCAAAATCTGCTTTAGGAGTCCAGTGTTCTTCATTTAAAACGGCTATGCCACCTCAGAAGGAAAGCTACGATTCTCTAAAAACCACTGTATCTGTTTGCCTTCTGAAAACCAGATCAAAAATCAATATAAGTACACTGTATGTTTAGGCAGTGTTGTAGACCTGGAGGATCATTCAAAACGTAGCGGAAACGAGAAGATATAACCTCATAGTGTGTGAATTAAGCGGCATTTTTATATGCTGATCACGAAGAAGATGTTATCTTTACATACACGGGGAGTTGTGTTGATGCTGGTCAAAGAAGCCTGAAAAGAGCTTGTAGGATGGCAAGCTCATGGCTTGAAGCTCATCAATCATCCTCCGACAAAGGGAAGGAATGAATTACATTGAATGTCATTCAGTTCTACGCGCCCATCAATAATAGTAGCAAAGATAATAAATATCGCTTATATGGCAGGCTGAAGTCTATCGTAGAAAATTGCTCATGAAAAGACTCTAATATTCTGATGAGAGACATGAACGAAGACGTCGAATAAGAGATAACACAGAGTACGAATATACTATGGCAGTATTTTCATGCACGAATGATTTAACAGAGCAGTATGGGTTTCACCGGACCCCACCATTTTATTTTAACATTTATTTGAACACTTAAACATTGGTACAACAGGGCACCAAATACATATGTGCCACACAATAAAAATGAGGCTAGTAGTAGTTATCATTGATTTGTGTAGGGGCTGTGATGCTGCCTGGATGTCCAAATCAAAACAGGAGGACCACATCGAACTCATCCCCACTAATCAAAATTTCAGAAGGTTAATGGAAGATAAAATGAGGAAGAAATTAGCTAATGTACCCTCATATCGACCCCTAGTGATGGCTAAGCTGAAACTGAAGCGACTATTTACAAAAAGCTGTCTATTTGAAGTACTCTATATCCGTTGACCAGACACCGTCATCAATAACCTACTGTAGCAGAGATTAAACCAGCTACCAAGTGAGGAGGAAATCGCGAAAGAATGTCTTAGGTGGATAAGTCATATTTCACGAAAAATATCAAACTTCATCACAGTGTATAGTCTTAACTTGAAATGTTCAGCGTAAAGGGCAAGAGGCGGATCAAAAGACAAATTGTTCAAATATCAAAAGCAATTTTTCAATGTTACATCAAAAGTTTCTATGAAATTGAGTTATAAGATAATTGTTTCACTGATTAATTCCAAAGATAAATTCAATTTTAAGTTATAAAATTTTCAGGTTTAAAATCAGCTAGTAACACAATTGTTTGTCTATCATATTCTTTTTGTTGCTGTTACTAAGTCAACTTTTATCCTCCCATTTCTTATTTTATTTTATTTTATTGATTATTTATTAATTATTGTTATTTTGAATTTTAGATTTGGGTATTAACTGGTGATAAAGAAGAGACAGCAATTACTGTTAGTCGTTCTGCTGGACATTTTACACCAAATATGAATTTAATTCATTTAACAAATTGTGATGATTTTTTTACTTTTGCATATAAATTATTTAATTATTTAGAAAAATTAAAAATTTATCGTGAAAAAAGAAATTTAAAAAAGAAATGAAATTATTATTAAAAAGACCAATTAATTTAATCAAAATGAAAACAAACTTAAAGTGTCGTATGAAAGTTGAGTTTAATTATCAGAATAATCCTATTGATGAAATTGATTTATATAATAATAATAATAATAATAATAAGCAATTGTTTACAAGTAGATCATTACAACATAAATTAGATCGACCACGTTATAGACATTCAAAAAAACCTGGTTCTTCTGGTGAACCAATGGCTCTTGTAATAGATGGTAAAAGTTTGCGATATGCATTGCATGTAAGTTTTGTTCATTTTTTTTTTGGGTAACAAGATATTATGATTAACTTGTAATGACGAGAGAGGTTTTTTAATCATCCAATGTATTATTGTGAATGCTTATCGTAAGTTAAATAGTTTTAACTAACTAATTTTAAATATAAAGATGGATAGTGGCTAACACTGGAATTCAGGATGCGCGTTTCGTCCTATTTCAGACTCTTCAGATTGTGAATTAAGACTATATCGAGGCAATATGCACAGTATGTACATATGCCAATAAGAGACTGATGAATCGCAGTCCTAAATAACAATGAGAAAATTCAATTAAACAATACCAAGTGAATTTTAACTTTACTCCATCGAACAAGCAAGTGGTTATCAGGACTCAGTAGCTAAGTGAATAACGCGATGGCGTTTAAAGTAAATGGTACTGAGTTCAAGTCCCAGAGTGAATATCCACTCTGAGATGCAGGTACATCCAGCTGACGAGTCCCAATTAGGACGAAACGCATATCTTTTATTCCACTGCTAGCCACTATCAATCTTTGCATATAATGCTTGTGAATTAAGGCTATATCGAGGCAATCCGCACAGTATGCACATATGCCAATAAGAGACTAATCAATTGCAGTCCTGAATAACAATCGTGATTTACAAGTAAAACAATACCAAGTGAATTTAACTAACTTTAGGTATAAAATGATTATATTTATCTGAATTCAAGTAACAGAGTAGTATCTTCAACCCTAACACAGACGTAGTAGTGTATGGGATAAGTGAATATACCTCTATAAAGAATGTGACTAAAAACAAAATGTACTCCAGATAACTTAATAATCAATAATTATTGACATACAAATGTCACAATGTATTTCTATATGTATTCATTTGGGCTTGTTGTTAGGCAATTACTAAATACCACACATTAGTATAGTTCCATGACTATCGTAGTTCACTTTGCATCACAAACGTAACTCACCTGTATAGTACTTGGAAGAATAAATCAAGAATAAAACCTCTAAGTATTTGAAAGAGATAACGTTTGGTAAGCATAAGTATGTGACAACTAAATAAGCACTGAACAGAAAGGATAGATGTCAAAATTACTTTATAGATGGTTAATAAAATATAAAAGCATCTTTTGGAAAATCCTTGATATGTTTAGTAAAAAATTATGAAATCACATCACGATTACATAAGGTAGCAAAATAAAAAAAATCGGGTCACTCGAACCACTAGATTATAACTCAGAAGCTCAGTAGTATTGTGCTCTCCATGTAATCTAAACGTCCTGCATTCAAACCTATGTATGGTTGTTGTTATGCATCGCCAAGAGGTTCTAAACGAGAAAGAAGTCGATATTCACTGCTTTTTGGTTCCAAGTTGCATTTTATCTGATATTATTTATATGCTTTGTGATGAATACATAATCCATATACCATCTCGTAAGAACACTATCCAATACAAGAGTAAGTGTTAATTAGTGAAATATGGAAAATAAAGTTAATAGTAGCTTGTTACCATATTGTCCTAATATAATTTTAGCATTTGTATATAGTGATATCTCAAACTTTCTACATCAAGTTTAATGAAATGTTTTGACTTTTGAAAGAAAAATATGCCAAATTGTGGCACTGAAAACTGATCTATAGAAATCAATCAACGCTAGAAAAGACTTGACATATATGAAATCGATCACTATTCGGTGATTAGTAGGTTATCAGAAGGGGTTTTTTGGAGCTTTTAGAAATTTCAATAGTTGAAATCATGAGTCAATTGAAGCTAGACCACCACCTCACTAGTGACAGACTTCAAGAGATATCAACTCACTGAAGACAATGGTGTAAAGTGGCGCAATTTCGTGGATTGATTGAAGTTAGATATTATTACCTTTGGATACCGGCCGGCTCAGTTGTCTGATGGTTAGGCGCTCGCGCGCAAGACTGGCAGGTCCTGGGTTCGAATCTCGTGTGGGGGAGCGCGATCGTACTGCTGAGGAATCCCATACTAGGACGAAACGGCCGTTCAATGCTTCCAGGTTTTCAATGTTGGTCTAGCTTCAAATGACTCATGATTTCAACTATTGAGATTAATAAATTGTAAAGGACTACTATAATTTGTAAGCGATTACATTTTCCTGCTGATGATGTAAAGGATTATAATTTATTAGTCCGTAAAGGTAAATGTGCATTGTGAGCCGGTCGCCTCGACATAACCATTAAGTCACAAGTTTTAATAAAGTATAATTATGGCTAACAATAAAATCCACCTTCATGTTTTAAAAAAGATAATAAGTCTATAGTTCTACCATTTAGATAGCTGTTTTGGCATCATTAATCTAAATGACTGTTGAGGACGTTAAATCCCCAGAACTCACCTGGAAAAGGTCCTAATTTTGTAGTTTTATTCTGAAAATTTGAATTTTACGTTTCGCGCCAAGAAACGCTTAGTTGACCTACGCTTATATTTTCCACTCGGAAATCCTTGACTATCATTGGTTGACGGATTTTTTAGTACGATATTTTGTGGCTCTCCCAAGGGCGTTTCTATCATTGTATAAATAAGCTTGATTTGTGTGCTCAGTAACCTCGGATTTTCTGGGTGCTTGTAGAATACATTCTCTGCGCTTCATCAAGACATCTTGATCTAGTGAGCAGGGCCGGGGATAACGGATTAGAATAGCCTATCGTGTCACTGTATCTTCGACCTCCGTTTCGTCTACCGAGTAAGGTGAACTCGTAATAGCATTCAAGCACATCAATGACAGAAGCATTTACTGTCATAAAATGTTATTATTGATATTTGACACGGTGAAACCACAAGTGATTATTTTCTTTAATATGTTTAAGCTAATTGTAAAGCAAACTTCCAATCTATTCGAATGCCTCGTAATTGTTTATGAAAATTCAAATAAGAAGCTTACATCTAGGCACTAAACATTCGATCAGTTTCGATATTAACTGGTTAGAACCAACCAATAGGAGGCCCAGAACCTATGACTTTTGTCACTCAGCATTTGGTAACAATGGGTTTCTGTATTATTCAGCCAACTATTTCTCCTCGTAAGACTCGAACCAATGTCACAGTCACAAACGTTAACACAGTGCTATTACGGTCTCTCCTGACCTCTTGTAAGATTCCAATTTTTTAGATGATTTGTTGTTGAGTAGTAAGCGCTTCATATTTATCTAGCACTTATAATATAATCAGCACTAAGGAGTAGATAGTTTTGATTTTGTTGATCACTCAGTGATTATTCATTACTTCATCAGTTTGTTTTTTTAATGCAAAACTTATTTGATTTTAATCTGATCATGAGATTAAACATTGTGTTCTGACTGTCGAAACTCACATATGTGCATTGGAACGGACATTTTTTAAGGTTCATCAGTTGTGAAGTGCATGATAAAGTTCATAAACGTTCATATTAGGTCACAGCAAAAGCTGATAAATGAAGAAATATTATATTTTTATAACTAAGTGTTTGAAGTAAAGTTTATATTATTTTAATATATTTTCATCACGGAATAACGTCAACTTTGTAAACATTAAAAAACCCTCAAGCACTGGATAGTAACATAGTTTAAGTTTGTAAATTTTCACAACAAACCAAGAATTGTACCAATAATCATTAGTTCCTGTGATGAAACCAATATCTTTGTACTATCAATATAATACACATTGGAATTAAAAGCATTAGAATAACTAATAGGATTGTTTGTAATTGATAATATAAAAAAAATCCTCAGAACTGTTTAAAATGTACTCCTAGCAGTCACTGATGATCCATTAGGTGAAGACAGAAAAAGACTGTAAACATGAGTTATGTTCGATGTGAAAAAAAGCCGTTTATTATGTCACCAGTGATTGAAAAACTATGTAAAAATTTCGCCAAAGTATTTCTGATCGTCTTATTCGGTTAACAGGCGAATTCGAATATATTTAACTAGGCATTGGTCAATATAAACTAAATAATAACCGAATACACGCAAACAATTTACGACATCGATTGATTTAAGTGCACTGATTAACATTATAATAGATTATTGAGTTGCCTATTTTCTTCATCTTGATAATGATACACAGTACAAACTCTACTGTTCAGTGATTTGAAATTTAACTTTAGAAACTAATAATCAATATTTTTCATCAGATAAGATACTACTGTTGGTCAATAGTTACTGGTTTTCGATTGTGAACTAATTGGTATAAAAAGATTTATGGTTTTGATCATTGTGAAATAATTTACATTACTATAGTGATAAATTCTATTTCCAATTTTTATAATTGTCATCTTTATAGCCTACTCTACGAAAAACGTTTTTGGATTTATGCTTACATTTAACTACTGTATTATGTTGTCGTATGACACCATTACAGAAAGCATCAGTTGTACAACTTGTACGTTCAGGTTTATCAGAATTTGGTACACCTCCGATTACAGCTGCAATAGGTGATGGTGGTAATGATGTTGCAATGTTATTACAAGCTAATATTGGAATTGGTATACATGGTAAAGAAGGAAAAGAAGCTGTGCGGGCTTCGGATTATGCCATTCCACAGTTTAAGTAAGTCACCTAAGTATTTATTGTTAAACAACACATCTAGAATTCTCACAGTCATTATTAAATTTAAAAAGAATTGTGAATTTAGATTTGTTTTGCTATTTAATTTTTAGAGTGATATGCTTATTTATTAATATTATTAACCAACTGAAGTTAGACAACAATAGAAAAGCAAGAAGCACTCGACAGCTGTTTCATTCTCATATGGGACTTCTCATGTGCACCCTCTATCGCAGTACCGCAAATTGATTTAAGCCAGATATGTTGACCACTTGTCACTGGTCATATGTTTTGAAGTTTAAGTCCTCGCCACCAGACCTGAATACCCTGAATTCGACCACCTGTGATGAGGTTGTGTTTGCGCACTGCCACTGAGGAGTCCCATACTAAGACAAAGAAGTTGTCAAGTGCTCCCTGATTTTCAGTGACTGTCTGAATTAGGTTGATTTGTGATTTCAATAACATTCCACAATCTCGACAAGCTCTCATACTGATATTAGTTCAATTGATAAAATTATAATTAAATAATTTTTGTGTAAAAGTGTTTGGATCAGTTAAGTGTGTGTTATAATTATACAATTTCAGTTAAAAGAGCACTCTACTTCTTAATGAACGTATTATATGTTTCAACTAACAAATACTAGGCAGAAAGTGAAATAATTCCTGTTAAACCATTCACAAAATATATAATGTGTTGTTCGATTTGACTGATTTTCAATAGAAACACTGATTTTATGGATTCTGGTTATTTTAAAAACGACTTGCGGTTACCACCATACTGTAGACGATTTTAGAAATAAGAGTTTCTGAAGCAAAATTTTTCTTGAACGCTAATTATGACTTCATAACTCAATGAATTTAACAGTTAGTGTTGAAGGTAGTCACACATGGTTAGTTATACATGAATATGTGCTATTTAGCTATCTATCTGATCCAGTAATGAAGTATTGATCATAGACCATTGGAAATATGGATCAAATGATATAACATAGGATACACGAAGTTTGATGAAGAATATAAAACATTAAATGACGTAAAGATACGTCATTTTTGCAATAATCATATAAGGACTCATTATGAAACTAAATTTTGGAAATATTCGAATTCACAACAAATTCAGTAATTTATATCAAGTGTAGTGTTCTCAATAATAATTAAAATAATTCAGTACTTAGTAGTTTAAAACATTGTGGTTTCCGACTACAGTAATTGACTCTCGATCATCAGATTTTATTATATTCCGATGAGAATAATGAATGGTAACTTTTGGTTCCATTTATGAATAAATACTAAACGTATATTTTTATCGTGTAATTGATGAATATCTAAACTATTCATATTCATCTTCCTCTTATCATAAGCTTTATTTTCATCTATCAACTGTTATCATACGATTTAGCATTCTTGAGTTATACTTAGTCTATCAATTACTACCTCCCACATTCACAGCCACATTTGACTAAATCTTGTACAAATGTTGTCTCCTATTTTATGGTATGATGTGGTTTATGTGATTGGTATATAAACCCGGTATGTCTGAAATAAATGATTGATATCACAGATGTTGAGATTGGTGTTTTGAACTTAACAGGCTGGGTTAGGCGGTAAGCAAGGTGGATAAGGAATCTAGACTGCTTGTACGTGTTTTATGCGTCATTGATCCGATCTATAATTCACTGTTCTTTAATTGGCGGTATCATCACGTTATATAATAATAGGACACACAGGCCACAAGTCATAACAATTGACAACGGGGCCAAAACAAAGAATCAAGGGCACAAAACTACAAGTTATAACAGATTTCAGCTTCGAAGTTCACGTTATCTAATTCCATTTAAACAATTAGATAGTACTATAGGCAAAAATGGATGGTGGCTATCAGTGGAATCCACTGCATAAGACTAGACTGTGAAAGGAAGCAGTATGCTATATAGGTTATTCTCTTAGATTCTGATATGTATTAGTAACTACTGTCTAAATGGATACCTGGAAACTTTAAAAATTGGTTCTGTGTTCTGATGAAGTTAACTGATTTATAAGTGATTCTAAATTAACGTTTATAATAGAGGAATAATAACAGTTAGATAATGTTAAAAAGGAAAGAAATTGTTGAAAGAATTATTTACAATGGAATGGTAAAATCCTAATAGGTTACCTATAGGGATTTGATTTTAATTCACTACTTGATCAGGGTTGATAAATATAAATGAGAAATTCTAAATTGTAATGAAACAGGTATTCAATACTCGTTGGTATTAAGTAATTTTTAATTGATTTCAATTAAGAATAAAATAGTGAAAAATTCATTGAAAAACATTATTATCAGTTGTTTATCCCATAATGAATTATATTTTTTATCCAAATGAAATTCATAAAGTGGAAATTTTTTCTAGAAATGATTTCAATATTTCTAATCATTCACAATTGCTATTTAGATTAACTTTATAAAACACTTATTTGGTTGAATATGTGTAAAAACTAAAATCTTTAATAATTTAATTCAACTCTGAACTATTTTCATAAAACTCTGAATGACGTAACAGAATGATTTGATATTGTAAGTAATGAACTGATTGTAATTTACAGCATGACGAGATAACGAATATTGCTGAACCCATTCAACAGTATTAAATGCTTGGCGAAGTCAAAGGAAATACTATTCAAAAAAATTATTTTGATTTCATAACATAACTTTTTGTAAATATTTTCCATTAACTTACAATCACATCAGTAAATTGGTTTAGTTCAATAAAAAAAACAGATTTTCCACTGGAATAGTTCAGTCAATTAAGCTATATTAATTTGAACATTGAGCAAAGAGATATCTATCTCGTCGAATAGTAATCGAAAATGTTGCTATCCAACTAAGTACGTTATTCTACCTACCACTAAACTGTTTAAAAAAGAAATCTGATATTTTATTACAGTATGTTAGACAACAATTTAAAATTAATAAATCAATTATAACAAACAGTATAACAATGAATAAAAACTGATGATAGTGGAGAAGATTTGTAACTCAGGTGGATGATTTTGGTGGAGTTTTGTTCTCTGAGCTGGATGGTTTGATCGTGGAGCTTTCATCGTTCTTCTGAACGACATCATCAGCACAAACGTCAGATAGAAGTGAAGTGTTTGAATTTCTCCATATGTGAGCTTTGAGCTTTGAGACACATATGGGGAAATTCAAACACTTCACTTCTATCTGAAGTTTGTGCTGATGATGTCGTTCAGAAGAACGATGAAAGCTCCACGATCAAACCATCCAGCTCAGAGAACAAAACTCCACCAAAATAAAAACTGATACATAAAGGCTTTGTTCATCAAAATGGAGAGCCAACAACATACTGTTTTATCTATCTATCTCACTGGTTGAAATCATGAGTTAATTGAAGCTAGACCAACATGGATAACCTGAAAGCATTGGACGGCCGTTTCGTCCTAGTATGGGACTCCTCAGCAGTACGATCGCGACCCCCACGAGATTCGAACCCAGGACCTTTCGGTCTCGCGCCAGGCGCTTAACCAACTAGATCACTGAGCCGGCCTGTACCTAAAGGTGTTATTATCTAACTTCAATCAATCCACGAAATTGCGCCACCATACACCATTTTCTTCAGTGAGTTGATATCTCACGTCAGACCTGGTTGAACTCCACTATCTATCTATCTATCTATCTACCGACTAATCTATCCATAAATATATTTATGTACATTTCCATCCATTTTTTGCCACAAAAATAACTATCACTTTTTTTTACTTTCGCTAAATACAACCTATCACTGATCTATCAGACTGATAAATCGTATAAATTCAGCTTACTAATAAATAGAAGCTAATAAAACTTTTTAACCAAGATGTCTTTAGTAGATATGGGATATTTCCATTTCTACTGCAAAATTAGGAACTTATGTTCAAAGAAACACTCGAACAAATTATTCCAAATATCTCTCCTTCGGTTATCATTCAAAAAAGTATTAAAAGACATTTATAAGGTATTGCTTTGGTCATTTTTGTCCGAGAACCTTAATATTGAAATCTCTGAAATGAACAATTGCTTTCTTGTAATTAAATGCTATTTCTTTAGACAAATATTCAAGGTAGACGTTTATGATATCAAATACTTATGATTTTCTAAATAAATTATTTAAGCTTTTTACAAAAACTGTTAAATGATAACAAACTTAATGGTTTTATATCTTTTAAATTTTGTTTATTTATTTATTTTATTACAAAACATTACAGACATCTACAACGTCTTCTTTTAGTTCATGGACATCGAGCTAATTATCGAATATGTTTAACAATGGATTTATTCTATTATAAATGTGTTGCATTTGTAACAACACAATTACTTTATACATTTTATAGTGGTTTCTCAGCTGTAGCAACATTTGAAACTGTTTTATTTTCAATTTACAATTTAACTGTAACATCGTTAATGTGTTTACTTTTTGGCTTGTTTGAACGTCATTTACCTGATGATATATTAAATGCGAATCCATATCTTTATAGAAAGGTAGGTTTTAAATAAACATACTGTCAGATTCATTATTATTTTTTATTTATAATGATAAAGATTATTAAATTTCATCAGCATACAGAGAACAAGAGAACTTCAGATGAATGTCTCATATGTTTTTTGAAATTTTTCGAAACACTAGTTTATGACTACACCTAATATCTGACCTATATGTTCAAAGTTCAAGATTGGGCTGAATACGTAATATGCAAGGTCAGCAAACTGAGAAGTTAGAAATTAACACTTCTACGACATTGAAAAAGAATTATGAAATAACTAAAAATTGTGTGTTGGAAAATTTTAATTGATTGACTTTGTTGTATCATCCTAAAAGTTTTATATGTGACCTTTCATGGGGTTTGATGATTCTCAAATTAGGAAGAAATTATATTTCAGTGCCCCATGAATTGCAAAGGTTCTCCAATTAATTTTGGTTCATGATTAAAACTATTATTAGAATACAATTTGATGTTAGTTTATAAAAACCAATTTGTGAGTAATATATTAAATACTGGATACAATATCGAGGATAAATTATCATTTGTTAGTTCACATAATGCGCGACTTGTTCTTAAAATGGATAAAATGTCATCTTTATTAAAACTGATAAATGATTTTAAACATATATTTATTTTACAAGATAATTGAATCTGTATGATAAGCTGGTGTTATTGTACTTTTCTAGGTTTTTGATAGCTGACATTTGTCATTGATTACTTTTTCTTTTGGTTTACCATTTTGTTATATGTTCCCTAGGTCATTATTATCACCAAATAAATAGGAAATTTTGGCTTCTTCTAAGAATAAGAGTCTCATTGTTGAGATCTAACTTCTAATTATATCACACTGTGACGTTGGAAAATCTATGATTGAAGCGTTTCCATTACTTAGTGGAAAGACTTGGTGAGAACGAATGAAAAGGCAGAAATTCGTTCCAGGCCTAATCGGCTGCGAGTAACATACACTATATTTAAGTAATGTTCAATCTAAATATAATTAAGTTATTCGATAGTTCACTAATAAACAAACCAGGATATGAAAAAATATGTTGTCACTATTTATAGAAGAAAACCGAAAAGAAATGATTAAGACTTGAACCACTGAAATTTAAATAATAATCTAAATAAGAACGAGAAAATGAATGACTCAGGGGAAGATAAAGAGATATATCTATGTTACCGCATCCCCTTTTAGCTGTTATTTAACGTTTTCAGCTATACAGAAGGTAAATGACAAAAATACAACAATTCGATCCATTATCGGTTACAACCACACTATATTTTTTCATGGGAAGTCGCCTTTACTTTCCCATAGTTCTCCTTCATTTCTACTTTGTTGTTTGCTTGGAATAAATTCCAATTATATTACTGACCCCAAACATAGCTGAAACTAAAAAGTAAAGAATTCATTTTTCTTTTTATCACCCCCAATCCTCCAACTTACATCGAAGCTAACTACCATTTCGCTCCATATTAGGTGATGAAAAAGTATCAGTAACCTGCATCCCTTTTATCCCGGTCTATAATCCATTTGCCATGTCTATTTGGCACTCTTTCCCTATCTTCAGAGTTATTAGCTTAATGAGAGCATCATTAGTGACCAAGGCTCTGAAGAAATCCATGGTCAAATAATTGCAAATTATTCACATCCTCAACTTTCGCTACAAATATTTCACAATCATAATATAATACAGAGAGAGCCACTAAATAGCTTACTCGTTTTTTACTAAACAGTTGGAAAATTCAGTAGTTAATATTTAAGTGGCAACATGTATTTAGCTGAGCACCTTAGTATTTCAAGATATTTAATTAGATGATCCCATCAAAAGATATTAATCACGAAAATTTTCTTTCTTTATTATTAATCGAAAACTAATACTACTAATAGCTTAAACATCAAGCAAACTTGAGATCATGGTATGTTTGTCTATGGATATTAGATGGAATATGGCATGGTACTATAATATTTTATGGTACTACTTATTTTCTTACTGGTGGAAATCATTTCTCCGAAAGTACATTTTATGATTCACATGGAAATATACAACAATTATTTGATATGAGTCTTTATGGATGTGCAACTTATTTGTTTGTATGGTTTTCAGTAAGTCTACGTATTTTCATTGCATCACGCGATTACACTATTATAATATTTGGAGGAATTCTATTTACTTTGATTGGGAATATAGCAATATTAATTGCATTACAAGTAAGCAGACTGTATTACTTTTTTCATAATAAAGCTGTATATATATAAGACAATTGAAGCATGCTTTTTTTATATTATTCTTACCTCAGTTATGGTCAAGGTATAATACACATAAAAAAACATCATAAACATATCAAATCGAAAGATTTAAGAGGCTTTATTTAAAAGTCCTGATTAATCTTAGAATTTTAATAAATCATCGAGATATCTGGTAACTATAAGCGTTATTACTTCCACTTATCAGTATTATATGTTTGATATCTGGTATACAACACTTAGGTACTGAGATGGTGAAGATTTGTAGCTCAGGTGGATGATTTTCATGGAGTTTTGTTCTCTGAGTTCAGAGAACAAAACTCCACCAAAAACACTTAGTTACTGCTTATATTTTTTCTCATTTTTGAATTCATTATCTTTGTTAATGTAAGTTCAGTCACTAGAAATATTAGTTAATGTATGTTAATTATCATTATTACAATGTTAATTGTAATTTTTTTTATGATTGATGCTAAACACAAAACTAGTTGGGAGTTAAAGTCTATACAGATACGGATTTATTGTAATAACTATTAGATTACCGAATAGAAGTTAATGCAATGAAGTGAAACGTCTACCATATTTAAAAAATGAATATAGAATAAGACGAAAAAGACAAAAAACAAAATTTCTACAGGAGAGATTTTTATTTCTCAAAAAGAGATATATGAGTAAAAGCTACTCATTATTCGGCCTTTAAAAATATCTAATAGAAACAGATAAGGAAGAATAAAACCCAATTGTTTATTGCACATTTACAAAAATACAGTACAATTTAAGGGACAAAATGTAAATGTTCAAATAATAATGATAATAAGAATATGATTTTATGAATAAGATCACCATAATAGAAATGAGTGTTATAAGTATTCATCTACAATCTACCATGCTAAGGGAAATGAAGAGTAATCTTTAAAATACTATTGAATAATATGCATTATGGTTCAAATTAGCATACGGTACATTGCTGTTACGAAGCTGACTAAGTTGGGCGACATGAATTAAGACGATTATTAGTCAAACCGTTTCTATTAACATTTTGTATGTACCATTATCAATCGTATATAGAAATATCGTTTATTTGTTAGCATAATAACATAGCATCAAAGTATGGTTTAAATGAAATGGAACATTCAATGTACTTTATATAAATTATACGGAATCTATCATAAAATATTTTGTTTATCAGGCTAAATAGTAAACACTTCTTACCAATGAAGTATCATTTATGCATCACGAATTCTCACGATCCATCTTTGTATTATCGATTGCAATAATAATTTAAAATCTTTTATTTCAAATTATTTACATTCTGAAAACGAATTACTATTAACAATTTAAGTATTTGTTTTTAATTTAGGGTACAACAACACTTGACAACATCAATTTTCGCAGTTATACGAAATTATGCCGAAGTCCAACATTCTGGTTTGCTCTACCGCTTATCTTATGTGTAGCTAATTTTCCATCTTTATTGTGGAGAATCATCTCGGACGCATGGTGGAATCTACAAATTTACTTAAGTAGTATACCTCATAAGCAGATTCGTCGAAAATATCGTCGATCACCAATGATCTGGTTTTTGGCATTAACGACTAATTACCTGACTGATTCATATGATATATTTCATCGAAATGAAATTAAACAAGATAATTCATAACTTAGGCGAAGCGAATAGTTCCACAATACTATCAGCCGAGTAAGTCTAGTAGCATTTGTATACATGAAAAATGTATAAGAAAGGAAGCGGCTATTAGAAAAAAAACAATAACAAAGAGAATGAATAAAAATTGTTAGATATGATTTAGCCGTCAAATTTTTTAACCATAAACACTTTAATAACTAGTTAAATCACATCATAAGGAACGTGAAATTTAATACCGTTGAAACGTCAATTAGAGACTGTTTTGCAAATGGTGGTAAATAAATGCCTAATGAATATTCTACATTGATTCTGGTCTTGATAGTTTTATTGGACACCATTATTTGAAGGTGAATTAGCATTCTTGTCCTATCCCAGCACACGAGATATTGGACACTTTTCCATCCTCCAGATAGACAGATTAATAGTTGTAAGTTTATTTACCTCTTTCTACGGTCAAATATATTGCTGCTTCCAATTATTATAAACTATTTCAGTGTTTTTTCGAGAAAAAATATTTGAAAGTCTTTAGTATAACACTCATTCAATGTTGTCATACCGAGAGTTTTGCAAACGAAACTACAACATACTGCTATGACAATGTAGATCAAGTTGTTAACTGTTAGCTTTTTGTCAAAAACTCAGAAGGTTTGACCGGCAAGCATTTATTATATGAATGACTTTGTTGAGGATACCTATATCTGAATCTTAAATCGTTAAGGGTTGATATAAACAACATCATTATATGTTGAATATGACATAATATGGAAGCAAAATTACACATAATACTTACTCCATCTGATGAATATTCTATCTGAAACATAATTCATTAAGAATATGTCCCTTTTTTGTCTATTTAAAATAAATTACCAACTAACTAGTTTCACTATTGATGCATTTAATACTAAACACTTTTGTTCTTAATACTATGAGGAATTTCATTAACATTGTTCCCAACTCATTGTCTCAGCACATCAATTAGTCATCTTTCCAGGAATAATGAACATGTATATCATAAACACATGGGAGAATAATTACTTCAGTATTAATGGGTCAATAATAGACTAACATATAATGATATTCAATTATATTACTGCGCTATTATAGCAAAAGTGGTTTACACTCGGACTTTAAAAACCGGATAAAATTCTTGAGAAATTAGTAAGCTATCTAAAACTACCAAATATATTGAAATTCTTTTACTGTTTAAGCATCAATTTTTATTTTGACAGTCTTTATGCTAATCAAATAATAAGGAGCATGAACATTACATGATCATTTTCAGGATCATTTAAGATCTAGACCATAGTTTCATCGGACATAATAGTTTGCTTCAAACATTTTGAATGAATGTAACATGTATGATCACAGTGTCGAAAAGAGGATTTAGTTTAGAATAAGTAAGGAGTTACGTATATATGCCTGATCATTTTTATAATGAAAAAAGTATATTCAAGTGACCACAGATAGAGTAGCTTAATTTTGCGTCATATAATATTTTGAGAAAATGCAATAATAAGGTATATGCTTCAGATAATTTCATTATTTTTGAAACAAACAAACATGAATGAAATGAGCCCTCGTTTATATGTTTTCGTATAGTGATCTGAAGAATACTGAATAAGTAATATTCATTTAAACTAACGAAATGTTTCGAAATAATAGATAAGGGTTTTCTTATCAAACTTTGCACAGAATTCATCATGACTGGGTATCGTTTAAGAAATTAGGGAAAAATAGGTTTTGTTTTCACATTATTTGACTCCTCAGATATATGTGCATATGATTCAATCTAAGTTTAAATCAAATAATAAAATAAACAGTAAGTCGATTATTTAATAGTTTACTTAGTTAAATTCAATCATACCATGACATAATGTAAACGATCTTCTAGTGTTTGATTTATTATTATTTTTTTTGTTATTATTCTGATGCACTTGGTTGTCCTAAAAAGCTACGACTTCTCACTGAAATTCCAACTGGTTGTTTGTACCATATACTTAGTTATATCAAACACTAACAATGAATGAAAGCGTTAGCTGTTAGAGAGCGAAAAAATTTTGTATAATTAAATTTTATTTAACATAAAATATATGGTTATCTCCATTCTGAAAAAGATTATTTATATGCATATACTTCAGTTTTATTAGGATATAAGTTATTATCACTACTTAATAGAATTTTCAATGGTGAAACACTGTTATCTAACACGTCTACTAACACATATTTATTTATCTTAATACATAGACATTGGTACAAGGAGGCACCAAATACATATGCGCCACACAGATCTCATTCGATATGTGTGAGGGTTGTGATACTGCCCGGGTGCCCAAACCGAAACAGGTGGTTTTCTTAGGGGGACACTCCCCGACCCTTCAACCTGAAGGTGTGATCCACAAGGCAGTGGAGCATCGTTAGGAGATGCAGTCCCATGGAAGCCGGTGACCAACAATTGGTTCATACGCCATTTGTCCCTCGGGATACTGGAGCACCATTGGTTTGGAATCCGGTTAAAGCACCGGACATTCGCTTTTCGTCCTCTCATTTTCGTGAAGAACATCCCCGCCACGAGAAGGCAGTGAGTAGGACTTCCCTGGCAGAGGCTATATACGCGTGGCCATGTGAGAGCATTTCGGGAAGGAGAGCAGACTCTCCCCATTCTCGGGCGAACCAGGGCATTTGGGGGCTAACAGCGATATACCAATATTTTAAAGAAAATATTTAGTTCATTTAGAATCTCAAGTAGTATATTTTACATGCATATTATAGTAACTATGGTATATATATATGGCGAATTCTACCACCGTTGATGTAACGAGGTAATTATTGAGGGAAAAATAAATCTGTAATTATATTTAGCGGAAACTGTGTGAATAAATTATTACTATTACTATTAATACTATAATTATCGTGCTAATAATGAAAGATTAACTAAGTCATACTTTAATATGAAAAGATTGTATACCTTTTTGTTATGTCTCGATGAGAATAATGAATGGTAACTTTGGTTCCATTTATGAATAAATACTAAACGTATATTTTTATCGTGTAATTGATGAATATCTAAACTATTCATATTCGTCTTCCTCTTATCATAAGCTTTATTTTCATCTATCAACTGTTATTATACGATTTAGCATTCTTGAGTTATACTTAGTCTATCAATTACTACCTCCCACATTCACAGCCACATTTGACTAAATCTTGTACAAATGTTGTCTCCTATTTTATGGTATGATGTGGTTTATGTGATTGGTATATAAACCCGGTATGTTGAAATAAATGATTGATATCACAGATGTTGAGATTGGTGTTTTGAACTTAACAGGCTGGGTTAGGCGGTAAGCAAGATGGATAAGGAATCTAGACTGCTTGTACGTGTTTTATGCGTCATTGATCCGATCTATAATTCACTGTTCTTTAATTGGCGGTATCATCATGTCATATAATAATAGAACACTTAGGCAACAAGTTATAACACTTTCCTCTAATATCATTTCATTAATTCATATTCTAAGGAATCATTTACTCTACAATACATCTTAGTTATATACTGAGATTACAATTAGAAAAAAAATAAGATCTAAGACGTTGTGGTCAATATAATTCACAATGATTTCTATAAGCTTTAAATACAGTAATTACATAATATTGATACTTGTGTAATTATAATGATAATTTACAGTTAATATGCTTTTCTATTATTTAATTTTTAGTGTATACAATAATCAATCATCAAATTAACAATGAGTGTAAATAATAGAAATTGTAATGATCAATGATGTAAATTATACATAAAGGTTTACCAGTGCTTTCTCTTTAGTGTTCCAATCATATTTTTTTTTCTTTTAAACGTTTTTTTTTAAACGAAACAAACAATTTATCCACATTATTTTGTTTTTCTAAAAAAAGCCAATATCTAGGTTTATTCTAAAATAACAAGTTTTTTTGCAATGAATTTACTTTTATGTACTTCTTCAAGGTACTTATTGTACTTGAACATTGTTCCATATCATTTATTATACTGATATGTAAGTGCTTAACATGGTTTCTTTTCTTTTAATCTCCGGTATTGTATACTATTCTAGAAGAATATTCTCTGTGAATTATTCTTCTATTGTATCTTTTACTGTCTTCTTCTTACATAACAAGCAATGGGTTTTTTAATCTATAAATTGGTGTTTATTTGACTACCTTTTATTGAAGATGTTAAGTGAACCTCACTATTAATATTTCTATTTTGTGAAGATTTACGTGTTTTTATATGATTATTTTTTATATGTATGCAATGTACTTGAATATTGGTGTTTTATTTCTGGACAATAGAGTTTAATTAAAATAACCAACCAATAAAAGTAATTGGGACTTCCGTAAGATACGTTTGAATTGCGTAGAGATTTTAAAAAACAACTTTAAATTCTTATTTTTCTGAAGTCAACATTTTCTCGCTGATTGTTGATTATGTAACGTTGCTAAAAAGTAAACAAAAACAGAAATGAATAGTACAAAAAAGACATAAAAATCGTAAGCGTATAAATGGGTGAGACCACAATTTATGGACAGACTAATCAGGTAACAAGTTTTCAGGTTTTTGCGTGAAATTCCCTCATTCATTTGGTTAAATAGATTTTTGGCATTATAGATTATGTCAGTTCGTGATGAAAACTTTAAATCTAATTGCTAACCTTAGCTATCAACTGTAAATCATTATTCTTATTCTTCACACTGGTTTATAACTCTCATTTAGTCCTGCTGGACACTCTCAAGGTCATTCTAGCGCCGTTCAAAGGTCGTTCAAAAATTATTGTCTCAAAACTAATTATTTAAAGAAATACATCAAGCTGTAATCAAAGTATAAACTAAATTACTACATCCGCTCAATTGCTACTTTTTCAAAAAAGTCCTTAGAATATTCAAGAACTGAAAAAAGTGAAGTGTAAAGCAAGCAGTGAAACTTGAAATAGAATAAAAATAATCAGCCCTATATGAGTATTTTTGGTGTTTGTGGTAACTGACAATTCCTTTGTGCATTATTCCGTACTTGATTAGAATTCCTAACTCGTTACCTGTAAATGCACTTAAATATTTCCCTTTAACTTAATATTGATTCATTTGTGACGACTGGGGTAGGAAATGAACACTCCTGGAAATTACTAGTTCACATGCTGGAATTAATTACTTCTAATTATTACAAAAAATTTACTTAATCATGAGTATTTTCTAGGCGCAATAGCAGAGAACCAAAAACAGTTGAATATACAATTTAACAAAACGGAATACATGAGATATTTAGAGATTATGTTCCAAACGAAAAATGCGGGCAAAAAACGTACTGAAGAGTTTAACAATTAGGTAATTATATACAACATTCCCTACCAAATCTAATGCATATAAACAAAACTGAAAATTTACAATTTGTAGAACTCAAAGACACGTTCATTGTCGTATGTAACTGAGCTAATAAAATCACACGTGTTTCACCACAATGAGTTTCGAAATAAATCAACAAACGACATACAAACTCAAATCTTTGGATAAAAGAGCCTGCTTGTACTGTAAAAGCCAGCTATTGACAGTGTAATCGCTACACCAACAGGCTAGAACCCTATCCGCTTTCAAAAACAGAGGATGTAAACTTCAAACCTTGTTCATCATCAACTTGAAATAATTAGTTCTATTTAACTACGTCTGGATCAGGTGTGATTTTCGAATATAGAAAAGTTTGTTTCATATTCTGACCTTTCAGGAATCTAGAAGAATACTATATTGGTTAGCGGTTAACACAAGTCATCGGGAGTAGACCTTCAATATAATCTCCAAACGTATCATTGAATATGAAATAACATTTTATAGTGGAAGCGACCAAGAGGTGTCATTACTATCACTCGTCAAAACAATTTCGGTGTTTAGAAATTTTTATCACAACAAAGCTAGTACGTGTTTTTTGCATAATGCCTCATGCCTTAACCCTAAATTATGCCTACTTAGATGTAGCTTTGTACCAAGATGTTTAAATCATCTGTTAAGATATGAACAAAGTGATAAATCACCATAATATTTCATTTCACCACTCAGCATTGCACAAGTTGCACACTACGCTGTAGTTAGGCTTTATAAAGTTTGACAAGAACATGTATGCTGCCTGTCCTAATGAAGAACTACAGGACAAATAAAGAAGAAGTAGGTGATGGCTGGTAAAATATGTAGCTAGTTGTTTATGGGATCACTATATGTGAGACGTGTCAGCTAACTAGCTCCAGTAAGAAAACTATTCCACATCAAAATGAAACTATCTAGAGCGGATGCTTTAACGAGCTTATCTACCCATTCGGTGTTTTTTCGAACTGACAAGGTCACCACCAGTGCCAACTACCTATGAAACTATTTATTTTGAGGAGTTATTTATATCCACGGGTTTATCCATTATTCAAAGACTTTATGAGGCTGATAGTTCATTCTTTTCTTTGAGCGTTATGTCCTATATTAAAATGAGAATTCTATAACTGACCAAAAACGACTGTAGATCACCAACGTAGATGATCTATGTCGGAAATGATTGGAGGCCTACTTGAGTTAGACGTGAATGGTGTAACAAACTAGCTAACGTCGAAGTCACACCTCGTGGTCATCACCTTACGTTGACTACACCATTGATGTATCAAGATACCATAGATGCTTTGAAGACTGTACAACAGGGGACTTCATAACAGAAATATATTGGTTAAAGTAGATACAAGCGAAAGTGAGACCTCTGCCGCATGGGCCAGTCCATGGCATTCGACTAACTGATGCTCGTTGGTCGTCCCTGACTTTGATGAGGATCGATGATTCGCTCGATATTCAATGACCCGACTTCTAGATGAGTTGGCTAGGACTTTGTGACATTCCGCTGGCCCTGCAGTATTGATGGACGGGCGAAAAGTATGTTACAGAGCAAGCAGAGGATGAAGGATATAATGTTATTAAAGTAGCTATAAAGAGGGGTAGAACTGCCCCCCACCGAGCTGTACAGGGAAGGTGTACTATATCTGACAGGAACGTTTGACAGTAGTGACATTTAAAGCAAGCAAATTCAGCTAATTTCTAAACAGATAAATTTGCCAACACAACGAAACACATACACGAAAACTTTCGAAAATCCAACATTCGAATTATAAAGCGAATGAAATGTAGGATAAATATCTATGACAAGAGTTATCTTATTTTACTTTAGCTTATCATTAGTTTATTGAATTTTGTACTGAAGGTTGTCTTACGTTTTGGTTTTGGCGGCTTTAGTGGTACAGAAATTTAATCAACTCTCAGCAAGGTTATTGGTGTTGATTAAACTTAAAGTCATTGTTGACTATATCGCTTTTCATCAACATCATATTCTGGTCGCGAGGTTAGTAGTTCAAGGTGTTATGGATGCATGTTGTGATATACGTAGGTTTCTACCCTATTGGTAACAGCTATTACAACTAGTTACAATTTTCTCTTCTAAACAGTGATTATAACGTTTATACAGGCACAACTACATATCTGGTGAGCTTTAGTAATGCCTCAGGGAGTTAGCACTTAAAGCTAACGTCCTTAGTGTTAAGAGAAGTCCATCAATCAGATATTTGACTTGAGGATTTGCACCGCGTTAATTATTGATTGCAAAATATATTTATTACAGTGATTTTTAAAATGTTGGCCAAAAGAGATCCAAAATGTGTCCTTACTAAATAACGAAATATCTTAACTATTGTGAAAAAATACATGTCACCATTGACCCCTATTCTAGACAATGTCTTATAAATTCGCAACTTATCAGGGTTAAAAGAAAGTCTTTCGATTAAGTTTGTGGACGGAGTTATTTGGGGTATTTATCACATGTTTTGTAGTTACTCAGCCATTCTGCCCATTTGTTTACCGAGGGCAAGTTGAATTAATAAAACTAAGGATATTTATTCGTATACTTCGCCATTATATACGAAAGATATTCAAGTATGAATTGCACTGAAAACTTAGTGCAAATGATCTTCATCAAAGCTAAACTGTTGATATTTTTCAAATTTATGCTTGCTGACACTATATACTAGTTATGGCCAATACAGGAATGTGGACTGTGGTTTTTTTCGGTTGCGCCATCTTAACCTGGTTTGATTTCTGGGGATTAAAAAGCAGCAGCAATTCAGAGAAAATCATACCAACTCTAAAGAAACCAACAAATCCACTTCCTACACTTCAGTTCATGTTTTGGTAAGTCTGATAATTTCATCTTAATCTCCTTAGCGTTTCCTGAGGATATCGGCGGGTGTTCGAGGAGATGTCACGGATCGTCTTACAAAAATATCCATCTTTTATTATAGAAGGCGATACGTATCCTCCACCCGCCTGGCGAGCTCACTTGGCAAAATCCTTACAATTCCTCAAATATTCCGTTATTCTTATGACTGTGTTTAATTTCGACCCCTTTGGATATCTTGGTTACCCTACTCCTAACTTTGTCTCATATGCCATACAAAATAAAGTGAGTTAAAAGTAGCTTAAGTCCATGTTTTTTGTATATAACATACTTGGCTGACTTAACTCCCTCACAGTCTTAGATTTTTATGAAGGTAAAAACTATTGTACTCTCTGCTGTGCAAATAAATTAAACTGTAAATGAATCGCTAAAACCCGTTGCACTTATTTTTTAGGACCCATTGGTATTTTTTAGTGACATGAGATCACGTTCTGTTTGCAGCTTCTATTATCACTCCGAATGGATTCTACACTACGAGCTGCGCATGCCGTACTTGTACCGTAGTCTGAAAGTAATTTGGAAAATAATCCTTATTCATGTGTTTGTAACACATTCAACTTGTGTCACAAGTGATATACACTTCCCAATAATTAATAGCGTATTAAGAGCTCCAGTTTATTATGTTTCGATAGGATTCTCATCTACTAAATTCCGTCTTTTAACGTACTCACTAGTACGATCAGTCAACTCAATAAATTTGGATATATAGTTCGGAAAGTGAGATCGATAGACATGATTATGATTTTGAATAACTGTCTACACTCAGCATCTTTTTACGATTACATTTTGGTTTGATGTATTGTCAACCTGATTTTCAATCGTCTAATGTACAAGGGAATTGTTGATCAAACGTTCATATGAAATAGAAATACTTGTTAATGTTTTATGCATTAAAATATATCTATTATTGTTCGGTTTCATAAAAAATACAGTTCTACATCAATTTATTTGTATTCAGGTTTCTTTCTGTCTGATGACGTTTCTACTTGGAAATATTATTGAAGGACAGTTGCTATCTACAGGCGCTTTCGAAATATACTTAGATGGTGAGTATCAGATTACTTTTGCAAGTCAATTGCACATTTCTGACAGCACCTGTTTTTTTTTAAAAAATAAATTTGTCTTGCGTCTTAGTATTTGCTATGTCGAAATGGAAGAATTAAACTCGGGAAAATTTATCAAGTTGTAAGTAATATGTATTTCATTGGATTCAGTAGTAAAGGAGTAACCTGAATGTAGACAAAGTCTTCAAAAAGAGAAATTTCTGAGAGGACATAGAAAAAAATATTGAGACGAAACCAATACCTTATTTAACGAGATCATTTCTTGTCTTAGAAAGTGTTTCTAAACTCTGACACAGTATTTTTCATTGTTTCACTTGTGAAGCAGTAGGAATATCCTTATTCGACCTAACAACTACACACAAGTTCATGCATTTGGATGCAATCTACAAATCAGTCGGTCAGTCAGCTACAGCGTAGGACAAGGCACATATATGCATCGGCCCAAGTTGCAACACATCATTAGCACAACAAGATGAACACTAAATTCATAGAAGCCATTACTTCAATGGTAGTAATATATAGAAAAAGATTGCATATAAGAATATGATACAGAGAGAAAGAATTAGTTCGTGGAAAGAAAGACATAAAACAAATTTAATTTCACGATTTAAGGGAAGACAAAGTGTTTACACCGATGCCATTGTGATAGATTCTGAGCCATATCACCCAGAGTCTTCAACCATTGGTTACGATAGTCACGCGGACCCCAACCAAGTAGTCTGCATCTTCCAACATGGCTCAGACTAGAAGTTAGTGACTCCAAGCATTGATGCCACGTTTTAGTTTGACCGCCCCTAACTTTCTTCCAACAATCCCCAATACCGGTTTGCATTGCGCATCGTGGTAATCGGTGTTCAGGCATACGTAACACGTGACCCAACCATCTCAGTCGATGAAGATTTATAACCTCATCAACTGATTTACCATCATTCCATAATGCCCTGTGTCTAACTTTTTATTACTTACCCGGTGATCCCAGTAGAGTGAGCAATAATTCTAGGATGTTTGTGATCAAATACTAGTAACTTATGAATATCTTCTACTCTAAATGGCCATGTTTCGCAGCCGTAAAGTAGAACAGAAAGAACTGCCACGCAGTATAGCCGTCCTTTTATTGATAGACGGTTATCTCGCCTTCGCCATAGGTGACGTAAATTGGCAAAAGCCAAACGAGCTTTACGAATCCGTGCTGAGATTTCGTCAGACACCAACCCATTAGGGCTGATCAGACTTCCAAGATAAGTGAAGTTGTCAACGCGTTCGACTAATTCATTTCCTATCCTTAGTTCAGGTGTTGACGCAGACCAGTCCTGAAGCAACAATTTGCATTTAGAGAGGGAGAAACACATCCTAAACATCCTGGCATTGTTGCTCAGTGCCATCAAAACACTATGCATTTTGTCAGCGTCTTCTTCAAACAGGACTATATCATCTGCGTATTCTAAGTCGATAAGTGGACCACCTGGTGAGAGATCGATGCCCGGAAATTCTGTCGACGAGAACGTTATTTCCATCAGTAGGTCTATGATGAAGTTAAGCAAAAATGGAGAAAGTGGACAGCCTTGACGGACACCATTTGAGGTTGAAAAAGTAGATGACAGTTCGCCATAAGCTCTGACTCAACTAGTAGTGTTCGAGTAAAGAGTCTTCACAAGGTTTATATACTTCTGAGGTACGCCTTTCAATGACAGACAATGCCACAGAACCTCGCGGTCTACCGAGTCAAATGCTGCTTTTAAGTCAAGAAAGACCACCATTTTCGGACGCCGATAAGTATGCCTATGTTCTAGAACCTGACGAATGGTAAATATGTGGTCGATGCAACCACAACCAGGACTAAAGCCAGCTTGAGTCTCTCGTGTTTGCAGTTCACGAGTCTTAGGCGTCCGATAATTATCGAGGCTAGTATTTTAGCTGCTATATTAGTCAAACTAATCCCTCTGTGGCTATCACAGGATGATTTTGACCCTTTCTTATATATTGGGACAATCAGTGATTGTGAGCAATCAGATGGGATAACGTCTAACTCCCAGATCTTAGCTAAAATATTAGTCAACCTAATCGCTAAAGTTGGACCACCATCCTTAAATACATCTGGAGCCAATCTATCTGGACCAGCTACTCTTCCTCGTTTCAGATCAACTATAGCCTTTTGAACTTCATCTAGAGTCGAGGGACCTACTTCAATCTTCCGTTAACGCTTTCTGGAAATGGTGGGTAGCTGTAGAGTAGCTGAACTGCTTAAAATATTCCGCTCATCGTTCTAAACGTCGTCTTTTTCCGAGATAGTTTCACTTACAATTGACTTATTAATTCCAGTTTCTTTTATTAGTCTGTAGAGCTGTCTTGTATTACCTACAGCTGCCGCCTTTTCCATCTCTTTTGCTTTCGTTGCCCACCACTGCTCACGGTCGTTCCTTAGACTTTTGCTTAACCTAGATCTGATTTGTTTCCGCTCTTCATCGTGTTCAGAGCCTGATGGGATGAGTTTATGAGAATCTGTGAGTGCAATAGTAGAAATCTACTGATTTTCGGTCTAAATCACTGATAGGTCACTAATAGAGCCGGGATACTAAAATACGCACTTAAATGTCTTTCTGTTTGGCTTAAGTTACCTACTTGGGCATTAAAGTCACCTGCTACTAGTACTATGTCTGAGCGTCTAGCTTTTTGAAGAAGTTCAGAAAGCTTTCTGTAAAAGTCACCTTTCAATTCATCCGGGCTGAAGTCAGTGGGAGCGTAGGCAGAAACGACGTGTGTCCCTACCCTTCCGAGTTCTTACGGAGCCGAACAGCACATAAACGACTGTTAACGGGGATCCATTCTAATAGTGCTTGTTCCGCCCTCATGCTTAGTGCTATGCCTACACCTGCCAGCCCACGAGAACTAGGTATCAGGTTGCCAGATACACGGACGGTGTATCTCGTCGGCTCTCCTTTTTGGCGGGGTGAGGGTAAGTGAATGAGCACACTAGGATACTGTTTCGGAGACAGAGCATACATCAGTGGTACGAGATTCTAAGGTTCTAGCCAATGAGACCTGCTGGCCGATTTGACACGGTGCGTACGTTGAAGGCTCCAAATGAATGCAAGCGTCTAGTGTGTATGTGTTAGCGGGATGTAGACTGGATTAAAGCATGCTCAATGCACGATCGCCTTGGCGCACGCTGATTGGTTAATTCTTATCCAAGCAGCGCTAGTCAATATTTGGTGAACACAAGAAACGTCATGTGAAAAAAATATAAATATATTAACGTTTTCCCTATTGCACTTACTTCCATCTAACCTTGTTTTTTGGAATATAATCTTTTCCTGTTCAACCGTGTTCTGATTTGGGGGACTTGTCGAGTGAATCGCTGTCCGAGAATGCTAAGCAATAAGAATAGCTGGGTTATAACAGTAAGGAAGTCACGTCTACAATATATGATGCGATCATATTTTGCTTTGCTTAAATCGATTTTTATGGTGAAGTAATGTGGATTATTTTTTACACAATAAGTAGGATTCAGAATAATTGTATAAAAGTGACACACGGACATTTGTGCCGGATATGTTAATAACGCCGTTACTCTACTTTCTTTTGTGAAGCAACAAATTACCAAGTCAGAAATAAGTGCGTCTTACCCCATTTGATTATCACAATTTGCGTGTTTAAGCTTTGGTTTTTAACACAGCTTCTCCTTCAGTGTTGCGCAATTTCCCAATGAATAGAAACATAAGATTATCCGGCGTTTCGTAACTCATTGTAGGCTGCTTCTTCAGAGAAAAAATAACCAAATCAATTTTGATTCGGCTTACACTCACGAAACGTCAGAAAATCTCATATTTCTACTTATTGGGATATTACGGATATATTATTTATCTATAACAACCTACGCAATGCTCAATTTATTCGAAATTACGAAGTCAAACCTTGGTAGTGATACCTTCAATGATCATTGTTTTAATGTTTATTTTCCCACTTTTCGACGTACTTCTCACTTTCAAAGGATATCTTTAATTTATACGACTATTTCTTACTATTATCACTAGTACTTCTGTCCTCATATAATCATCCTTACTTCCTACGGTTAGTTTCATAATGAAAGCGGACCCACAATATATTCGCTTTTATTTGCTTGAAGAGAATTCCTAATGATTTATATCAATAACATACCTTCTGGATATACAAGTAATTTCGTCTGAATTTGATCGAACATTCTCACAGTATTTGGGCGCCGAGTTGATGTGAGACATTTAAAATGAACAATGTATTTGCAAAATCGTTGGATTTGCTTCACTGATATTTTACAAATACATTCCTCCTCTTTAATGTCTTCTACATCCTAGTATTCACTATAACGTTAGTGAATATAACTGATCAAAATATTATCTTGCAATGCGACCTAATCTTATAAATCGCCAGCTAGAACGTGTTGTATTCTAAACCAGGATTATAAAGCACCGATAGCTTGATTAAACGAATCTTGTTCTATCCAAATCCAATCATAGACTTCAGTGTCAACTTCTGATAATTATCTTCATATATTTGTATATTCACTCAGTGTTACATATCCTTTATTAACTTCTCTCGTAACATTAGCATTTCAAAAATTATACTGGGAATTTAAGTGGTGATATTTTCCTTCTTTGGTTGATTGTTTTCTGGTTCCCGGAAACCAGGTGTTTAAGAAATTTCACTGGCGTTTTGGAAATAATAACTCGAAAAACCCCGTATCACTAGTCAAATACTTAAATTCTATTCAATTTCACATTTTTCATACGAGATGAATAGTTGTTATTCATTTAAGAAATCTTTCAACTGGTTAAGGCATTGTAATGCTAATTTTCAGCATTCAGAGGTGACATTCATTGACGATTATTCTTTTTGCACGTATTTAAAGGGACTAAAAGCATTTAGCTAAATATATAATCAAATTCATTTTTTCCTACTGAAAGTTATGTTGATTTGATTTTCAGATATCCCAATCTGGTCGAAATTGTACACAAACCGTATCCCTCAACCAGAAGAACTTCTTCACATAATTGACAATCACGTAAAACTTCGAGATTCGACAAAGACAATACAATCCGTCGGACCACCTATGTAGTATTTAATGCATACTACTGGCTTTCATTTTCTTTACTGATAAAAGCGCAAGGTCGTACCATATTTGAGCTTTTTCTGGCTTTATGACAGTTTCCACATCAATCTCTGTTTAGAGAATGTGGTTAACTTGATGCTAACCCGTTCTAGTTCAAATACGTCGACTAGCCTTTTTACCTTTATTGTATGTGATGTATTTTTTAAAAGTTGGCTGCCTTTAGTTAAACTTGTTCCTTTGTATATTGTTGAACAATTTCATTAGTGTAAAGTGATATTCATTTACTTGTGAAAATAAATGCCTTGTAATCGTCCCGACGCAAATTTCTGTATACAAAATATCTGATTATAAGACTGAAAATTGTCCTAATTGTATACTGAAAGTTTAGTGGTTTTCTTTCATAAACAAAACTTTCGATGTACTACTGAATATGACATTCGCACAACTGTTAACTCGATGCTTATCAACAGTGAAAATACGGTCAGTAATCAAGTGGACGTCATGCGAGCACGCTGCAGAAAAAAATATATTTGTTTACTAAAGACAGCATATCGTTGTATAAAATACACCGACTTGTCACTTTGATTCGGATAAAACCAGATCAGTAACTGACTTGAATATAAGCAATACCCAGGATAATAATTGACTGACGGAACTGAGTCCTATTCTTACAAAAATTGCAACTAGTGAAATGTGCTTGGGTAATTGAAGCACACTACGATTAGTGATAAAATACACTACTTCGGCGGAGTAGGATCTACAACCTCGCTTACGTCGTTTTTATTTAAGCCAATCACATTCGAAATAATCTGGAATATGTACTCTAGTTTCAAAATTTTCCACCTGATTTCACCAGAATATGGTCGAATTTTTAGCATGTGTCCCAGTAGTCTCTGGTCGACCCTATCGAACGATATAGGTAACAGGAATATTGTTTGTGAACGTCATTGTCGTAGGGTGGCAAGTAGGTCAAAGACCAGTTGTCTGAGCATTATCTATTCAGTAAACCGGATTACAGAGAGCTTCATTAAACCTACTACCCAAGAACCTCATCTGACGAATCAGAAACCTTACCATAGAACTCCTCTGGACTTCAGTCAGTGGGACTAGAATTTAAACCGAAGGTACTTATTTTGCTTTTAAGCCACAATCAGTGATACAACTAGTGTTTGAATATGCTGAGGATGAACTGCTGTTTTGATTAAAACTCGATACGTAATTTACGGTCTGAGTTCTTACATATCTATCAAGAAATCTATTGATTCGGAGTGATAATGGTAGAGACAGTAATTCAATTTAAAGGTGTATCTTTAACTCCCTAGCGAAGTGTGGTTGATTTTGGATCACAGTTTTATGTATTCACAATCAAAACCCTAAATGTAAAAATTACGTAAGTCGATTGCAATCTATAGAGATGTTGGAACGCTTGATAAAGTTGGGATATTAAGAATAAGAATTATCACATGATAAATCCACTTCTCCTGGATTGTAAATGATCCCAACTTCCTATTTATATTCATGGAATCTACTAACTAAACAGTGTAGACCGCGCTTAACTATGAAAAGTATGGTTTCCAGTTTCACATACTAACTAGAAAATTCAAATTGTATGATGAATATTGGACTTATTTACCGGTTACTCAGAATAAGTGTAGCCCAACAGTCTTATCATAATCAACCTAATTATTATATTATAAGTGTATGTAAATAATGAAATGACAGATTTGTAGCTACAACACACGCTGCATTAAAATCATACAAAACCCTGAAAATATCAGATACAACTAAGTGCGTGGAAGATTGAAGAAAACCTTATGGATGCGCTGAGCTAATATTATAAAAAAATTTTGTGATTGTCTCACCAAAATTAGGACGACAAAACAACTTTATACATCATAAAATTTAGTTATTAAAAATATCAAAACCTAGTACATTTTATAGTTTTTAAAAATCTAGTCCAGGTAGAGGGTATTTTGAAGCAAATTCCTCAATTTCAAGCCTCAACTTTTCAATCATTGAACGTACTTCAACATTTGTTTCAACAACAACCTAGTTATAAAGAAATGAAACTAGTTATAGTATATACACATATCTGAGTAACGTTATAAACTTGAGGATTTGATGATCAGATAATGGATTTTATTTTTATTTATCTACGCTGCAACAGGTTACAGCCAAGAAAAAGTAACTTATTCAACTAGATGCCGCTCTCTACTACGTGCGCATCACAGAACTTTGTGGCCTTAGATGGAGATTTCATGAAAACTAGGCATAATGGAGAATCAAAATAGTTTGCTTGACCATTGTTAATCCATAATTTATGCCAAACCACATGCAGACAGTTTGTTTTACACTGGTGCATTAACCAAATATTGTTTAAACAGCATGGGTTAGCACTCACTTAAGTGTGGATAATTCTATGATCAATCATATGACATAGTTTGGTAGTTGACCCATTTAATAAAATACGCACTCTTACTCAGTGATTGTAAAAAACTACAGAAAAATATTTACAGTGCATTTTCATGACGTCACAGTCATAAGTAAACTAAACTATTACTTTTTATAAACCAAATTCTAGGAAAATATTTAATCAAACCAAGTTTTTTTATTCATAAGCACGAAGCAAAAACAATAAATATCTAAGCGAACGGTTGTTTTCAGTAGCCTTGTTAACCTACTCCTTGTTAAAAATTCATAACCTATATTATAATGATCAAAATAAGGTATACATAAATATGTGAATTAGGCAATGCTGCATGTTAAAATAGTTCGCTTTGCATTAGCGTCAGAAATTCTATTTCTAGGGCGATTCTCATTTGCTAGGTAGTGATCACATGAAAACAGACGAGGTATAAATATACAACTGTACAGCCTGACGATGAAGTTATTGTGAACAACTGTTAGCTAAAATATCCCTTGGTTTTGAATAATCATTTAGTATCTTAAGAAACATTTTTAAAAAGAACTCTATTCATTGTATATACTCAAAAAAAAGAGATAAAATTAACGCATTAGTTTCACAGCACAACTGAGAACTGGTACACGCACAGAGTCCACTTAGGGAAGTTTGAAAACCCTGATTCCAACCCAGTACCAATGATGCACATGAGCTCCGGGTTGCTGTGGGAACAAATGGCGGATGAACCTATTGTTGAGCACCGGTTACCATACGACTGCATCACTTAACGTCGCTTCACTGTCTTGTGGATAACTCTACTTCTAACTGTGTCCAAACTGTTGACTTCCGGCACACTTCATAGATAGCTCAAAACCCATGAATGATTGATTCACGAGGAGCACGTCGGTTTTAATTATGGTCGATGTATTGATTAAAATCTTTGTCCTTCCCCAAATGTTAGAACAGCGCCATACTGATTACAGAACTTTCGCTGTGTTTCTCGACAACAAATTCACGATTGGTCTGTTGGACAAGATTGTTTTCTGGAACTGTCTGTTGAAGAAGAGTATGTTCAAGAAAATTGATGTCTTCGACACAAAGACCCCTTCCCTGTCTCTATTGTCCCACACGCGCAATGGAGTCAGGGAGATTCGCTCAACCACGACATTCCTGGACGATTTTGGCAATGATGAAATTCTGGAAACAACTCTGGTTAAAGTAGGTGGTGGTAATGTGGATACCTTTGGTTACTTGTAGAAAGACTCGATCTTGGATGTGAGGATGATATTGCCTTAACGTGCGGTGAGACTTAACCCACACAATATCCACTTAATCTGCATCCGTAGGAATAGAATGTTTTGCACCTTCTAAGTGCAAAACACTTTTATAAGACAGACAGGGGCTTCTATCTGATCTCACTATTGATAATGAGCAGTAAGAAGTTCGTGTACTTAAGTAGCTACATAAGAGCTGGTGGTGGCATGACTGATGAAGTCAGTTTATGTACAGTGAAAGATGGAGGCCTATTCCAATCTAGGCCGGCTTTGGTCCAATCTGCATTTTACTAAGATTCTGTAATTTTGTGGTCAAATACATTCGACTGTTCCCACATGTGTTCTCGTTGACTACTACCTCTACTATTTTGGGATTCTGCATGACAATTTCATCTCTGGTAGATAATAAAGTGTGGGAACCTGAACCGATGTACATACGTACCAGGTTCTACGTTGTGACTTTCTTAGATGAACTGTTTCTCCATTAATTTTAACTATTTACTCATTTTGATTCATACATTCCTTTCTCTATCACTTTACAATTCCATTTCTTATTGTGTGGTCCATATATATTTTGGTGCCCTTTAGTATCAATATTTTTCTGTTGAAAGAATGAATAATAATAATAAACTGGAAAAACCGTACTTCGTAATCCTTTAATAGTTTGCTGTTAGCAAGTTCATTAGCTTTAACAGCTATTTGAATTCCAACATGTATGAATTCTGAAACTTTAGCGAAATCTTCTTCATGGAAATTTCGTGATGTTAACGCAGCACTTCCAAAGCGTAAGCCACCAGGTCTAAATAAAGTAGGAAGAAAAGTGGAATTACAAACCATTACTCTATCCAAAATCTAGTAAGCAAATATCATCCTATAACTTAAAAAATATTAAGAAATCGTTTTAATTCCTGAAAATTTAGTTTAATTTAGGTGTTCCCAATGCAAATCTGAAGAGACCTTCAGAAAAATGAAATGAATGAGACTCACACTACACTCATTTAACTGAAACGGATCATTAACTATTCACAAAGTAGTTGCCTTTAGTGTTTATAATATTAATGTTACAACAACTGTTGACTTTGTTCCATATATTAAGATTTAATATAATTTTTATCATGCCACATCATGCCACAACTGCAAGTGAATAAGTTCCATTTATGAATGAATGTAACCATCAACTGTCCAGATAAATCTCCATCATATCTTTTGTATTAGTACGAAAATGCTATTCAGTTTAATAGGTTGAAGTAGATCTACTATGGTATGGTAAACTAATGATCTCGTATACTGTTTCTAGTAAATTTCGAGTTGAAAAGTACTATCTCATTTTGGTTTAAATGGGCACATGGGAACAGATATTAAGTAAAATTTGATATAACTTGTATGATAAGCGCAGGTTAATGCACTCAACTTTGAACGAGTGTGCCGATCACTGATACCAGCCGGCTACTAAGAATTAAATTAGTGGTTCAAGGTTCAAACCTGAGATCTATTAATTGGGAGTTGAATGTTTTTACCTACCAAACAATTGCTTTACTTCAAACAGATGTATAGAAATAAATACACTTAAAAAACAGTAGTTTTCATTTTATAAGACGGCGAATATTTACCTCAAAGCACTAACATCACCAGGACAAGTGTTCTTGTTTGCATAGATACGAACTAGTTCTAAAACTTTCTCAGCTCGAGCACCATCTATTTTTAATGGGCGAAGATCCATCAAGCATAAGTGTGTATCACTACCTCCAGTCACAAGCTATAAAGAAACTCACGGTAAAGAAATAAAAATATAGACATGGTAAACAATCTTGTCTAATAGGTATCATTACTAAGGTTTGATTGAGCATCGGGTAGATTGTTATAAATAAATAATATATTTGTAATATCCCAATGAGTAGAAAATTAAATTTTGACGTTTCGTCACTTAATGTAAGCCACCCCCCTTCAGAGAATAAACAAATAATCAAATCAAAATCAATTCAAGTTTAAACTTGATTCATTCTCTGAAGAAGTGGTTTGCACTAAGTCACGAAACGTCAGAAAATCTAATTTTTCTACTCATATTACGAATATATTACTCATTTATAATCTTGTCTAAGTTACTAAATTTCATCAGCAGTACTTTATACAAAACGGAGACGATCATTAAGAGTTTATTATTATTATTATTATTATTATTATTACTATTATTATTATTATTTACCTCATAACCATAAGCTTTTAATGATTTGCAAAGTTGTTTCATATTTTTGAGCACTTGCTCTTGGTAAACTTTGTATTCAGATGATGCAGCTTCTTTTAAACAAACAGCTATAGCTGCAATAGTGTTATTGTGAGGACCACCCTGTAAACCTGGAAAGACTGCTTCATTAATACGACGTTCAAAGTCTGTTGAAGTAGGATCGGTGTGACATCCATTCTAAATGCGTAAAGAAGTGACAAAACAAGTTTGGAGATTTTACCACAAAATAAAATTAGGGAAAATTAAAAAAAAATAGGTGAATACAAACTGGATAGGGATCTTTAAAATAATCAGAATATTCATTTGATGATGGTGATAACTGTTTAATTTTAAAAATAGCCCCCCCCTCCATCATGAATTCAACATATCCCGGATTAATTACTTTTCCGAAAGACTAGGTCTCTAAGTAAAACAGAAAATTCAATATATTAAAGTACCGAATCAATAAATAAATGAACAGAAATTATATTAGAGACAGTTCAATCAAAAATGTATCCACTAAAAACTTCTTTTAGTCAGGGAAGATTGTCTCACGATTAAGTGATAGAAAATTACGGCAGGATAATAATTACTTTTATTTTAAGCCATACCTGATAGTGTTCCAAGCCAGTGAGTTGACCATTTCCAAAACCTTCACCGACTTGGACAGGTAGATGCCAGTCAATATACAATATGGGTCACTGGAACGACATGCACGAGCCACCGAGACTGATGCTTTAAGATAGTGAGGACCAATTGAATCGCCGTCGTTGTGCCCGACAATAAGTTGTTAATACAAATATGGTGCTGCAATTCTTCAAAGACAATGATGATAGAACACACCGTTGGAAAACATTCTTAACTCGGAAGTCAGGTTTACCAAGCGTGGGGTGAAATTGCTCTTATCGACGCGCTACAAACCCGATTTTTTATGGCTAGGCCAGCACTATGATGGGCCAAGATTGGCATAGGACAGCTTTGGTTTTCACTATATGTAGATCAGTCTCATTTGTCACTCAGACACTACTACTCATAAACTACCCAGATAAAAGAACTTCTCGATGGTTCACCACAGAACGTGGGTGGGTACATGCTAAAGTCAATCTTACAAAGGTATTTCGCATTCAGATGGTGGAAAATACGTGATATGCCAACAGACCCTAACTGCTAACTTACTAATTGTGGTTTGAAACAACTATGTATTGTCACACAGTAAGATAATTTTATACATGTAATCCCTGTCGAAAAGTCTTTCTTTGTGCAACAGATACACACTACCACCTACTTTCTTTAGAGCTCTTTCCAGAATATTATCGATGGCAAAGTTAGAGAAGAATGGCGAAACCCGACAACCCCCTTAGCTCTACTGTTAGACTGTGGCAAAGAAGACAAACGGATGTACGCATAGTGTTTGATGTTTTTACATATATAGCTTTCAAGATGTCAATGAATTCGTCAACCAAACCGTTCTTCAACAAATAATCCCAGAAGTCAGTCTGTCCTAAGAGTCGAAGGTGATCCCGATATTAAGGAATACAATGATTGTTGCACTTTAGCAGATGTAGCGGTGTTCCAGCATTCAGCAGATTCAGGATATAGTTTGAACGAAAACCAGCAAGCTACTCACGAGTCAGTTCTTCAAGGGTTTTGCTAAATCTGATCCTCATAACTCAGAAGCCATTGAGATGGAAATTATATCCCAATAATTGTTGAGTAATTTACAAAATCCCTTCTTAAAGATAAGAACGAAGATCGCTATATTCCACGATGATGGAATACACTCCAGTCCGCAAACCTTTCAAAACAAACTAGTCAGTTTCCGGACTAAAATTTATCTTACTTCTTAAAAGGAAACCTTACGGACTACTACTTAATCAGGCTAATCAGTATTCACGGGTAAAAGAAGACAGAACAATCTGACTGACGTTGCTGGAGTAAAAGATCAGTTGGGCAGTTTTACGAAGTGTTCTTTCCAGAGTTTAAGACGCTTTTAGAGGTTACCAATTGGTATGTCATCGACTTTATAGATCGTTTCACTGATACCAATGACTCGAATAAGTTAAAACAAATCCCAGGAATTACTACATGGCGGTGCTGTTTTAAAGTGGTTAACACGCTTTGACTATCACGTTGCTCAGTCTTTCTGTAAACTTTAAGAAATTTTCTAACGTGAGAGTCTAAGCATATCGAATCCGCGATTTACCAGAGTGGATAGGATTGTATGTGCAGGAAGTTGGATATGGCCAGAAACAAGTTGTGTACCACAGAAGAGAATTACCGTTTGACCTGTGACTAACATATAAGTATCAGTCATTCAAACGTCTTTCCTCAACACATAGCTGCCCGATATATGCGTTCAACCTCCAGTTATTACGACACTGTCTGTCGAATGAGTCTTCTTGAGATCACTTAACTGAAGTTAGAAGTCATTAATTCCATTCAGGCTGGAATCCATCCATACGTCGACGGAAATTGTGAAAAGGTATAACTCCCGCTCCAGTTTCTTCTCACTTTATGATCTAACATCATAAATGATTATATGATTATATAAAGATCTAATCGATTACTGATGCCCTTGCGACATATGTTAGAAAAACAGGATATTGATTTCACAGGGTCTCTGAATAAGCTTACGTAAAATAAACTTATTTGACATGATAAATGGATAACAAACTGTAATACTTTACAAATCTTGATTACAGATCCAAGAAATACAGCACACAAGTCTTCATAAAAGCGATATCAGATTTTATAATCCATGGCAATATTCATAAAATAGATCATTCGGGAGCTTGAGACTGTGTAGACAGGACAGAAATTTCAACAGAGATAAGGTTAGGGGTAAAAGTGAAGATGGCGATAAAGGACTAACGGCACACAACAAAAACTATTTTTGGGATGTTATCTCGCTTAGTTCGAAGTTTATAAAAACCGGTATTTAGTTTTGTGTCGACGTGCTTCTGCAAATCGTAAGTTTTTCTTTAATAAATAATTCACTACCATGTTCTTTTCTGTTAAGAAATTACTTTAATTTAAACGTGACCCTTGTAGTTCATTTTTTTCTAATCTAATGTCCTAGTTTAGACATAACTGTATTTTCCTCCTTCCTTGTGTGTCGAAGTCTTGTTAGTCATATATTTAATCACACACCTTTTTAAGTTAGTTCGAATGAAGAGTATATCAGAGAATAATTACAGCTAAAACGTCTATTCCCTCTCCGCTTGTCAGCCTACCAGGTTACAGATCGTAGGTTAATGGCAGGATAGTCTTCTTCTTTCTGCCCTTAAGGCTGTTCAGTCATAATCGAACTCACGCGTTGTAAGTCTCAAGGTTGTACCAAGTCACCTGTCCTCTCAAGGCTACAAACTAGATCGAAATAATTTTCTCTCTGCATGCTAATCACAGACTGATGAGCAGACAGATTAAAGACGTAACACAAAGCATATACAAAAAAAGGTAAAAAGGGATAGAAGGGTAGAGAGCGGATGATTATCATATTTGTGTAATATTGAGTCATTCAGTTTGTAACAATTTGATCGACAGACTGGTCTGAGCTAATAGAAAAAGTTATACATTACTAATTCATAAACTTTACAAAATTACTCAAAAGGTCTAAACCATGTACAATGTAAATGTTTTTCCGTACTCCTTAATTAGCATTATTAGGATAATAACTTACGTAGAATTGAACTTCAAAACACTTACTTCAACACCATTTTCTTTTGATCTGACCATTTTTCTATAGAATATCATCGCAGCTCGCGGTCCACGAATTGTTTTATGAGTAGTGGTCATCACTACATCAGCATACTTGAAAGGAGAAGGGTGAAGACCTGCAGCAACCAGACCACCAATATGAGACTGAAAATGAATGAAGCGATGAGAGTTAGATAGATTATTCTGTAGACAAGAGTTATCAGTAAGGAATCTTGTATCTAATTTGTAACATTAACAGTTAATCATTACACCGAGAGTGAATAGTGTTGATGAATCGAGCGAAACGAATACCGAAATAAACATATTCACTTTATACGAATATTTGTCAATATTAGAACGAGTGGTTTTATGAAAGTTGGGCGTCGAATATAGGGAAGCTATTATATGTGAAAAAATATATTTGAAATAATCTCAGCGATTGAAATTTAAATAACACAAACGTTTTGTTCAGACACGTTTGCCGAACGAAACATTGGAATAATTTAAATTTCAATAGCTGAGATTATTTCAAATATAGTTTTTTACATGTAAACATATACACTACATGAAATGGAAAGCATAATGGAAATCAACTTTCACATGAAACTAATAAGGATGAAAAGCTGCGAGTACATACACACCTGACGACTACGCTATAATCTACATTTGTTATGTGATGGTATGCATGCATACTTTCAGACTTTAAAATTGAACACATGACCACATGTCGTCGTTTAAATGTGCGGAGTTAACTAAAACTCAGACGATTTGAACCATATGCTACACTGGTGGCTGTCGCCGACCGTTGCTGCTACCTTGATGTGGTAGTCGGGCTTGTCTATCATGATGAACCAATCGAGCTATATTGGCTGGAACAATCGTTCCTCAATGTCCTACCATGCCAGACAGGTTGGTTGAAGAACGGTGAAACTAAATGCATAAAACCCTGGGTTCAAGGGCGAAGTCGTATTGCTGACTGTACAGAGGTGTGACGGCAGTAAGGTGTTTCCTTCAAACAACGAGCAAAACGGAGATGCTGTCTTTTCCAAGGAAGGGTGGGGTTAGAAATGGTCGACCCTAAAAATGCACACCTCACCTTATCCCACGAATTTCCGTCTCCAGCGGTAAGGTCCCAACAAGTATGGAACTAACACGAAAAGGTTGTGTGTGACTCACCTCAAGCAGTTGTCCCTTGGGCACTGAGGTCACGCTCTCAGGTCAGTAAGACCACCTCTAACTTAATTTCTTTTTCAAGTACCTCGCTCTCTGTCGTCTTCAGATATCACTTATGAGTGAATTACGCAGACAGGCAATAGTGTGAGATCAAGACTAAAAACACAATATACACAATACTGCAATCAGTGAATATCTGGTTAATTTAAAAAGGAACTATTGGTGAAACGGTAAAGAAAATGAAGATGAGAGTCTAGAGCTCCAAAAATATAAAAATTTTGAGGAAGTATTTAACTCAGTCATATCATTTAATCTATATCTCATGGACAATAAACAACACATGAAAATTTATCGTCAAGGGAATAATAATATGTTATTTTAAGAATCCTAAAACAAAATGCCAATAGTATTTAACCAAGGTTTACTAAATTTAATTTAACTCGTTAATAAGGCACTTGGTTTTGAACCACACTTCTTGTGCAATAGTGTTGGAAGTAATTATGAGAATCAACAATTTAATTAAATTTGTCAGTCAATTCAACTAAATCTATTAGTGTTGTAGAATATATACATGTATTTAGTCACTGATTAACTTATGCCAAGGAAATTCCTAGTTTAATGTAATCAAATTCGACTACCAAGCGGATATGTCAATGATAAATGGCTCAGTTATTCAGATATGGTTTTGGTCAACGGTTGAATCTGTTACGAATTTAGTCTTGATGCATAATAAAATCTTTATCTGTAATCTCGCCTTCTTTCTTGCATTGAGCTGTACCAGTGCTTGTTCCGTTATAACGAGTAGCAAGTAATCAGTTGTGTCTGCAGGATGTAACAAGTAGCTATATCAGTATTTTGTCAAGTTACAACAGCCAGTGATACTGTCTGACTGAACAAACTGAAGAGAAGTATAGTTTGAGTTTGATTAAATTATCAACATAAAAATCAATGGTTCTTATTTTTGTCATCCAAATTCCAAGATTTCTTTTTTTTTCTTGTATTTTGTTCTTACTAAACTACTAGGCGAACAATAGTGTAAAATAATTGTTCTATCTAGATGCATTATTTTGAAGAATTAGGTCAAACCACATTAAAATAAATTCACTAATAATCAATGTCTATGTGAAATATATTAGTTATATAGTTCATTGCATAGAACTTAATCAATAAATATGCGGAAATATTCTTTAACTCGCTGTATCAAAAATATACCACGATACTTCGATAGAAAACACGGGAAAACATAATTAAATTTTGTGATTATTATCATTACCACTGAAAGACAAACAACCTTTAGGTAATATCACAATAAAGATGCCATTAGTTATATCAACAAAAAAAGGAGTTGAAGATTGTTATCGGTTACCTGTACGACACAATAAATGCTTCTGTCCTAACAAACACTTAAATATTTATAAAAGTTTAACTGACATTTGAAAATCAATCTTATTATTTACCATATCAGCAAGTAACACAGCTGAAACTGAATCTGCAATTTGTCGAAATCTCGGATAATCCAAGTGACGAGCATATGCTGAAGTTCCTGCAACAATCAATTTAGGACGAAAAGATCTTGCTACAATCTCCAATCGTTCATAATCTATCCATCCAGTCTTAGGGTCAACTTTGTAAGGAACAGACTCGAAAAACAACGATGTGGCAGAAACCTGGTAATAACAAATATTTATAAAAAATAAAATGGTTCCGTAAAAGTAACTGAATATAACAGCTGGTTATAAGATACATGAGACAGTGCTGTTGATACTAATGAATGTATACCATGAAACGAAATGCTAAACACTAGAAAACTGAAAGGATATTGTAAGTTTTTAAAAATGTACCTCCTTTGTGCACCAAAAAGAGTCCCTTATTATCAGTTGATATGTCAGTATTTCCAGTCAAAATTTTGTACATTGAGGATTTACTGATTTTAATAACTAGTATTAAAAGGTCACTAAACGTTCAGAGTTAATTGGGTACAATGAAAAGATTTTATGGAGAAAACACTGAAAATTTTTTATGTGATTTCTTCTAAAATGAGTAATCTAGTCGTATAGCATTTATGTTCATTCTAAATGAGATTATCACGAAAAACTTTAGAAAACAAGCTCCAAGATCAGATTTATTATTTCATTGAGAATATAATGCAAATTTAAAAAATCGTTAAGCTTATGTTAACTAAAATAACACCCGATTTATCAAGTCAGAGGTTTTAATTTGATAATACTTAATTATATTAATCCTAAATACTTATAATCTAGATTGTGGATCCCTACATTGACCTGAAGTCTTTGAAGTGGATCTTTGTTTATGTGACCTTTACGAAACAAAAGAAAATTTTTGCTCAGGCATAATCAATCAGTAAGACGCAGTCGGTCACAACGTAGAACCCGGTACGTATGTACATCGATTCAGGTTACCATACCTCATTAGCTTACATAGATGAAATTGTCAGACAGAATACCAGAATTGTAGAGGTAGTAACAGTATCAATGGTAATAAGAAACACTACGCATCGAACATACAATTCGAGAAGAAAATGTAGGTTAGTGAAAACAAAATACGAAAATAGTTATGAGGAATTCGAAATCTCAGAATTCTGGGAAGGACAAAGAACGAATGCACTTGCACCGTTACAAGTGATTTTGAGCCACGTCATTCAAAGTCTCTAACCATTGGTTAAGACAATCACACGAACCCTAACCAGGTAGTCTACACCTATTGGAATGGCTGAGTTTAGTTGTCAGTGACTTCATGAACTGATGCCATGTTTTAGTTAGGCCGTCCCTAGCTTTCTTACAGCCTATTCTTACACCAGAAAACATTATCCGTCGAGGTAGACGGCGATTGGGCATACACAACACATGTTCCAAACACCTCAGTTAATGAAGATTGACTACCCCATCAATCAACTTGCCATTTTTACCTAGCTCCGTATTCCCAACTCAGGTATTTTATACTCGGTGGTCCCGAAATACACCAGCAATGCTTCGAATACACCTATGACAGAATGCTAGTAACCTACGAATATCCTCTATTCTTAATGGCCATGTTTCACATCCATAAAGTAGAACTGCTGTGCAGTAAACTCGTCCTTTGGTTAGGATGCGGATATCTGGCCTACGCCACAATAACGCGAATTGTCAAAAGTCAACCCAGCCTTCTGAATTCGTGCAGAGATTTCGTCAGACACCAGATCATCAGCACTGACGAGACTCCCAATATAAGTGAAGCAGCTGATGAGTTTTACTACTTTACTCCCTATCATTAATTCAGGCGTTGACGCAAGTCAACCCTGAAGTAACGCTTTACGTTTGGAGGGAGCCAACCGCATCTCAAGCATGCTTAAATTGTTGCAAGCAATGTAGAACCTAATATATATATATATATATATATATATATATATATATATATATATATATATATATATATATATATATATATATATATCGTATCAGCACATTAAGTTGAAGTTATCAAGATGAATAACAAGTTAGTAGAAGTATCAGCGGTAACAAAAAATTAAACACCAAAAGTATAATTTGAAAAGACTAATTTGATGCACGGAATAATAGGTACAAAATAACTCTGAAAATCAGGATTTAGAAGAAATTAATGCATTTGTGCCGTTGTGACCGATTTCATGCTGTCACAACATCAACTATTGGTCGGAGTAAACGCATGGACCTGAACTAGGTAGCCTCCACCTAGCTACATGGTTCAGCCCAATAGCCCATAACTCTATGAAGAGATAGGACTTTGTTTTTCCCCCAACACCTTACCTTTCAAATAATTTAAGACTATAGCAGATGTGATTAACATTCGCTCTTATTAGATTGTTATTACTAAACACATTCTAAGTGCAAGAGCTTAGTCTTGATTAGTACCTGGTTTCTTAGCAAAAACGATACAGTTTTACTGTTCTGTTAGTGGCTTACTGTGTATTTTGCCACTCAAGACGACAGCCTGAATACAACCTATTTTTCAATTTTCTACTTCATTTTGTTTTAAGAGGTCACTGCGTATTTAAACGTGACAAACTATATATTTATTGACTTTCAAGGAAATTTAAGAATTAGGAATTATGTCATTAATATATCATACAAGGTAGGAAAATAAACGTGACAAAGCTGAGGTAAATGAGAACACTGAAACTTGAGTCGGAAAAAATCTAAATAAGAGTGAACGAACATCAGGGAGACATGAGAATACGGTTTAGATATCAAGTATTACTCACTCATGGAAATGTATCTCACTTTTTAAAGTCAGCTGGTAGTAGTTTAAAAAGCTGCTACAAAACATCAGACAGTTTTTACCTTATCAGTAGATTTACCCCAGCAGAAGTTTAAGTGATACTCAGCATCAATAATCTTCAAGCAATCTTGAGTATATCATATGACAATATGATGAACTTCATTTACTGCTAAACAAATTCGGTATGACGTATATGCAGATATCGTAATGTTGTCTGAAGGTTTGCTACCATGATAACAGTAAAACTCGTTGAGAAAATCTTGAAGTCGTATTATCAATCGTTGAGGCGGGATATTTAGTTATTAAAGACTGATTTGTAATACTCTGAGTTTGATTTTAAAATTATTAGTCAGTCAATGTCAACGAAAAGTTACAGAATGAAACAAAAAGGAACTATAGTTTCTTTTGAGTTCCAATAGTTATTTGATCGACTTGAGCCTTGAAAAAAACCAAGACATTTAAATGGTCAGGAATGTTTAATCATAGGGATTTGAATAACATACTACATATACATGAAACTATCGCACAGTTCAATTATTCTGCGAAATGTATATCTTCGCAATTTTATCTTGTGTTTAGAAGTACATTTTTGTTAGGTACAAATTTTATGAAAATCTGTTGCATCCTTTGAACTAGATCTCTATAATCTCACTGTATTATGAACCAAAAACACTGCAAATAAATTTAGAAGCATTAGATATCAGTACTTCCAGATACTCCACATTACCCGTTTCACTGAATTAAATTGTATGATAAGTAAGATTGTCGTAAAGACTTCTGTGACTCCCTTATTAAGAGTAATGCTAGTATGCACTAATGGTAAAAGAACCAGTAGAAATAACGCTAGAGACAACGAAATACACCAACCTTTCGACCGGATGCAGCTTGGTATCCATGAGTAAGATGTCCACCATCTGGCAAGTCCAATCCCATAATACGACCATGAAGACCGACCAACCCCGTATATATGGCGAAATTAGCCGGTGATCCACTATAGGGTTGAACATTAACACCCCATTCAGACTCATCAAGACCAAATAAGGCGAGAGCACGCTTCTTGCACAAAGCTTCCATTTTGTCTACGATTTCGGTACCACCGTAATATCTTAAATATCATAAGGGAACAAAGTCAAAGATTTGTAACATGTTAACTTGATCAAGCAAAGTACAAAAAAATCACATATGCACTAGTAATAACCCTAAATGCAGTTATTATTTTCATATACAACAAAGTGGATTTATTTAGCCAAGTCTGATGTAGATTTAATGCACATTAATTGTGTCAGTGTAAAATACCTCTTGATACAAGTAATAAACTCCAATCATCTAAGTCAGCAAGAACTTAAAACTACAATTGAATTGACTTATTTAGTGGTTTACACTTACTGGAAACACTTATTTTACCTATGACGTAACAAGTTCATAACACACTAGGGGAACAATAAACAGTAAACTGAGAGTTTGGTGGATAATCTGTTAAGTTACATCGCCAAACCCAGCTCCACCAACTTCAGCTTGGACACTTGGTTGATTTCATTAGTTGTAAAACAAAATTGTGATTTACACTAAAACATTGATAAATGAGTTGGACTATCAATTAAGACACTGAGAATTGAGCAATAACATCATATAAGCTGTAGTTTCACTGTATGTAAAGAGCGCTTCAAACAGCCATGTCTCATAAGCGTGGAATATCATATAAATGTGTTGAGTGGTCTTTGCTACTCAGTAAATAGATAGATCTTTCAATCAAATAAAACCTAGTATTTTAGAAAATACTAATTTAGCTCTTCATATGCTTGCAGAGATTTAACGGTTACAATCTGCAAAGTTGAGACACATTACTTAGGTGAATAACGTGAAAAACTACCATACTTCATACTGGCAGACCATGTCGGCAACCATTCCCATAATATGACCACTAATTCGTTTATAGGAAAGGACCAAATTTCTCTTCCCATAATCCCAGAGGCAATTTGACTAGTGCGACATGTAAAATATTGACCTTGGTGATTAAAAGACGCTTAACCTAAACTACTACAGGGAAAATTGGGGAAAATCATGCTGATTTCAGGCGTGGATGAGTCGACTGAACATTTACCCTTTGCTGGTTTCTAGAAGAGATGTATACTTACCAACAATAATCTCATTTGTAGCAATAGTCGACTCCGATGATCGGGAAGTTTTATGGTAGTGTTAATGTACCAGGTTTTATGTTCCTCATCAGTAACGTATAGCTTACCATTTGATAGGTGCAAAATATGCCGAAATACTCTAAACTTTACGTAAGTGTTTAGTTGACCGTTGAGATTATTACTATTATTATCTGAAAGTACAACGTGTAGGTAACTGACCTTTGAAGGTACAGATAAGCAATCAATGTCAACAAAAACAATAACAGCGTGAGGTAAAGTATATCCGAAATATTCTTGATGATAATGATTAGATTATAATATCTTATTATACAATTGTGTAAAGTGTCATAATTACCTAGCACCAACTTGACCTTCAGAATATTTGTTGTGAAACGAAGACGATAATGCTTGCAGGACAGCTTTGCTTGTGAAATTCTCTGAAGCTATTAACTCCAACCCAAGTTTCTGACGTTCTTTTTCCTCCCTGCATAATGCCATAATTTCAGGATCACTTTCAGCAAGACTGATACTCATTTCTGATATTGAACTGAATGAGTAGAAAACAGAGACAAGTGATTAATTATTTCTGAAAGCGTGAAAAACTGGAAGAAATTTGAATCAGCCAAAGTAAAGAAGTACTGTTATGAATACAAATCATTACACAAGCATTTATAATTTCGAATAAATTGAGTACTCGGTGGATAGTTTATAATTAAATATTAATAAAGCTGTAATATTCCGATGAATCTGAGATTTAATTTTAGACTTTTCGAGACAGTATAATCTGCTTCTTTGAAGAATAGGTAGCAAAATCAAATTAGTTTCAGATGATGCGAAGAGAAAAAAAAACGAAACTGAGAGTACTGAGAACAAGTTTGACTACACCATCATTCAGGTTGGCGATATTATGATATATTTGTATATACCTGATTGCGTGTGGAAAATGTGATATTGTGAGATGGAGTACAGCAGATTTGTGTGTGCTAATGGGATAAGATCTAAACAGGTTGTGCGGTAGGAAAAAATGGTTCAAGTTGAATATCAAGTCAAATCTTCCTATTGGTTGAGCTTAGTAGTAATATATGGAAAGCTCCACTCCTTCGACCTTCTATGGTTTGAAGAATCTTGAACTTTTTGCTTTTTATATTGACTTGTTAACTGTTGGATATAGCATGTACTGCTATCGCTGGTTCACTCCGTACATCTTAACGCCCAGGTTGTGTCAATTGTGATGCCTCCTATATATTGCAGTCTTCTCACATGCACAGCAAAAATTAATCAGTCAGTCAGTAACAACGTAGAACTTCGTACGTACGTACATCAGTTCGAGTCGCCATACCACATTAGGACAGAAATGCAGTTGTCAATTCAAATCCATAGTGGTAGAGGTAGTAAAAGTATAAGCAGTAATCGGAAAGATTGGGGTTCGAAGATGTTATTCAAGGAGTATAATCCAGTGAAATAAATTTGGAAAGAGAAAAGGGACATAAAGAATACAGATGATTAAAATTTGGGAGAATACAAAGAGTGGATGCACCTCCGCCATTGCAAACGATTTTGAGCCATGTCATTCAGGGTCTGTAACCATCGGTTGCTATCGTCTCGCGATCCCCACCCAGGTAGTTTACACCTACCAAAAATTAATCGTCCTGTATAACTCGACAATCTGCAGATAAGGGAAGTAGAAGCAGTACATTCACACCTCAGTAATTATCGAACCGATTTCTGTAAGACTGATTCGAAAATGGCTTTTACTTGATTGTGTGACCAAGGGTAACCAAGTTTAGAAATTTTTTTACAATAAAAGGACCTGTCTGAGTTATTGGTATGAAACCTGGTTGTAGCACGGTAAAAGCTTTATTGGAAGATTGTGAGCACGCTTGCATAATCTCTTTTTAACAACAGATACTTAAATTCCACCTCATTTTTCAGACCAACCAGGAAATAGAGAAAAGGAATATGGAAAATAGCTTATTTTGTCATTCACTGTACGATTCAATAATACAAATGCAGACTAGTCCATTAATGTGAAGAACTACCAGGTGTGTATAGCGATGGTAAACTTATCAGGCTTGAACTACTGACCGGTAACTTCTAGGGATACTCCCCACTATCCACTTAGGAATGAGGAGAAATGAAACTGACTTCGTTACCCGGTATAGAACACTCACGTTAGTTAAACATAATCTTTTCGACTTCATGAGGGAAAATATTAATCTTCACTATCAGTTAGTATTTTCTTCTTATGCAAATGCTGACTGCCTCGTTAAGACGTGAAATTCTCTTCAGTTTATGGGACAGGGTTTCGGAGTTCATGAATTATATCCCATATATTCTGAATGGCTGTTCTTCACAACATTATGGTCTCCAGGTTGAGAATGGATACCATAATGACGATCTCTTCGGCCTGGAAAATCGAAAGCATGATGATACGAAGTAGATGCAACCTACGGGGAACCCGGCATGAAATTTCAAGGGACCCTTGGGGGTCCATTGACATGGTATTCCAAAATGCACCTGGGAGGCGTATTGCGGTTCCCGATATGGAGACTTAAAATTACTGTGCTATTTTCAACAGAACCAAAAAAGACGGGAGGAATGTTTCTGGTTACTTGTTTAATATGTTAAAAGTACCGAAAGTGGGTGGGTCTCCAAAAAGTGTCGAACCAACATTCGTCAAACTAAGTAAGGGTAGACACACACTGCACACAAATAAAATGCTCCCAGCTGAGCGAAAATATGTGATAATAACATTTGCTCGAGGATTATTCTTTACTAGTCTGTCCGGTATCTGCAACCGGTATAAGATTACAAAGGAGTATAATGAGACAATAAGAACGTATACAAATACGAATTCTCATTTTGAAACCACAAATTGTACGACAGTAGTGTAAGTAATCAATGGAGAGAAAGGTTAAACCCAGAATACTACCAAAGCCAAAGATGACACTTTGAAAGACAGCTCCTTGGCATCATTTTTATTAGGACAAAAAGGAATAACATAAGACTGGAGAATAATTTAATACTCATACCAGATATATAATAGAACGGGATTGAATTGACCAGTCTTTCTGAACATATTAGCATGAGGAGGCCGACAGCATATCAAATCAATCGGCTCCTATCAAACTCAAGTTTTGAATGAATTTCAAAATATCCCAAGTCCATATAATCTGGTCTTATAAATAGGAATAGGTGGGAGAATGAAGAAACCCTAAAGTCGTTTGAAAATGTAACTGCTAATCTTGTCCTACATTTCATTCGAAACTGAAGTATTTGACAGACAGCTGTTATTTCCATAGTGTTCTATGGGTCTGACATCCGACTGTCTTGTCAAACCGGTGTAAAATTTGTGAGGGCTCTAGTGAGTTCAAATTTATTGTGGTTTTGTATTTTGGAAAACACTGAAAATCACATAATGTTAACATCGATACACAACAACCTCTGAACATATCACGAATTATTCTTAATTATAAGTAAGGATTTGCAGACAGTCTTGCTAATTATAACAAACAAATAACGGGTGATAAAGAACTGTAGTGGTTCACATTTGGTTAATTAAATGTGAACTATTAAAGTTCTAATCTACTTAGTGTTATTTGCTTGCATCTCCTCATTATTGTTTAAGACTGCAATTGATCAGTCTCTTGTTAGCATGTATACCCGAGCTCCCAATTTTGGGGGAAACTCGACCCATTTCGGGGAAATGGCACAAAAACCCAAAATTTCCCCAGACCTTGGAAAATCCCCCAATATTTCCTAAACATTGGTGAAGGTCATTTGACTTCAGGAGTTTCCCTAAAATTTCCCCAAATTTTGGAGCTCAGGCATCATGTGATGATTGTCTCGATATTGCCTTAGGCCCCGAGCTTCATGAGCAAAGATGAATGATGGCTAGCAGTGGAACCCAGGACGCGTATTTCGACATAATTACGACTTTATGACAATATTGTCATAGGGCTTTGACACCCCCCCGAGCTCCCAATTCTGAGGAAAATTTGGCACATTTGGGGAAATGGCACAAAAACCCCAAAATTTCCCCGGACAGTCTTCAGTAATAAGGATAGTAGGTTGATGAACCTGTGTTAATCCTGACACATTGCTTTCCAGTGAAGGTACAGCTTTTCGTTGAAAGTATTCACTGATGGGGCTGATACCACTTGTTTAGGTAAGGCGTTCCAATGATTGACTACTCGATGAGAAAAACGGGACCCCACTTTAAGTTTATCAGGTCGTGGTTTATGAACCTTCTTGCTGTGACCTCGGAGATGCTGGAGGGAGCAAAAAGATAATGCATATTAACACCCAAATCATAATTAAAGATACGAAATGCCAGTATAAGGTCACCTCGTGTCCTACGATACGACAAGGGGAAAAGATTTAGACGTTTTAAGCGCTCATCGTAAGGGAGTCTAGAAAGACCCTTCACTAATTTCGTTCCCACACGCTGGACACGCTCAAGGGAGTTAGTATCCTTTATCAGACACGGGCTAGCTGCTTGGATACAGTACTCTAAATGTGGTCTAACATATATGGGATATAAAATTCGAAACGTTACCTCGTCAAAAGATTTGAACGCTCGGCGAAGTGACCATAACGCACGAAAACCTTTGACAGCGGCTGCTTTGCAATGCGCAGTTGTTTTTAAATCATGACTTAATACTCTTAAACGCATGGAAGAGGTTTACCCTCAATAGTGTAACGGTAACTATTACCGTGACCGATGTGCATTAGTACACTCTTCCTAGCATTGATTTCTAAGCCCCACTCTCGAGCCCATCTAACTAAATCGTCTAAGTCAGCTTGAAGATCCACATGATCAGCCGCACTTTTTATTGTTCTCCAGATTTTTACATCATCCGCAAACAATAATGTCGACGACCTAAGTAACAGTGGTAACTCATTAACGTAGAGAAGGAAGAGCAGAGGGCCTAAGATGGTGCCTTGGGGTACACCACTTTTGACCGGCTTCCAATCGGATAGCGTTCCATTGACCCTAACTCTCTGTCTGCGGTCACATAAGAAATTTCCTATCCACCCATGTACAGTACCTATTATTCCGAAGCTCGTGAGCTTCTGCATAAGACCTACGTGTGAAACCTTGTCAAACGCTTTGCTAAAATCTATGAATATCACGTCGACAGACAGACCGTGATCTAGGGCTGCTGTCCAATCCTCCCTCGCAATAAGCAAGTTAGTCAAGCATGAACGCT